GCAGAGCGAGCGAAGCGCACAGGCTTCTTGCGCTTCTTAAGCTGATTGAATCGAAGAACGTCTCCTTCGCCGTTCGCAGTGGGAAGGGCTTGCTTTTGCGCATTGATGTCTGCAATGAGCCGGCGGTTGTTGACTCGCGTTGACCGGGATGTCGATTTCGATATTGTTTTAGCAGCTGCAATCCTGGCAGCTTCCGCTGCTGCTGCTTGTGGGTCTGCCTTTGCATTCGCCTCACGCTCCTCACGAGCCTTCTGAACCTTGATCCGATGGGGCAGGTATTTGGACTTTTCTGCCTCAAGAATCCTTTTGCGACCTTCCGTCCGCGCAGCTCCTGTGTTATTCGGCACATAGTAGCCAGGGATACTGATGGCGTCCCTGGTTATGCCAGTTTCAAGGCCATTGAGAGCTTTGATCTCCTTCTGTTTCCAACCCCATGCAACAAGATTTTGAATAATTGATTCTGACTGATCCAGTAGGATTTCTCGCAAAAATCGCAGATCTTCATCATCCTTGACAAGGTGTTGCCAACCATCCAAATCAAGCACGATAGTATCATCATCTTCCACCGTGGGCCGGGGCATATCCTTGGACACGCCCCATTCAATCTCTGTTTTCGGCTCATCGAACGGTTCGGCTTCCCACGTTTCGCCGATGGGAAGATCATCACCCTCGGGATGTTTGTGAGGCACAAGCTCGGTGAGCTGGTCTGCGGGTTGGTCGTGCCTTGGTAATTTGTCGTCACCCTCTGCGAGATCATCGCCAATGGCCGCTGATGTTTCCAGGTCTTTAGTCGCATCCTCATGTCCGACTGTTTCCGAGTCAATTCCAAATAGCTCATCCTCCTGCCGCTGTCGCTTTCGTGCTTCTTCTTCATCTTCGGTCAGCCGCTTTCTCTTGCCTGACGTGGGAGAGACCTGAAGTTCATGAGAGAGATCGCTGATTTTATTTGCGGCATCCAAATCGTCCACGTCTTCAGCACCGCGCTCTTCGACCTCTTGAGTCGATCCCAGATCGTCTGACTGGTATCCTCCATCGCGTTCAAACTCCGATGTCGTTGAACTTGCGCGACTAGGGGGTCGGCTCTCTCGCTCATCGGCATCCCTAGTAGCAGGAGTGCGCTGCTCGTCGTCCGAATCTTCATCATCGTGCAACTGCTGTAAGCGATGATACAAGGGCCGGACTTCTTTCTTTCGTAGTGGTTGCCTGCGCCGTTCATCTAGGAAGGCAGCACCCGCATGGTCAAGACCATGGGCTTTCCTGATACGAGGAAGAGCAAGGACGTTCAGACCTGATGATCTGAGTGGGTCTCGGCCGGCAGACATTTCACCTCGAGAGCCAGGGGTGCTGTCGATTTGGAAAACAGATCGTTTTGTACCTTCGGGGTCCGAAATACCCAGCTTTTCCCTCTTAGACGCATGTTTACTCGGTTCCAAATAGTCGTAGAGAGCTGGCGCAGCTATGCGTGACTTCACGTCTTCGAGAAGCTTGTCCCTCAGGTCGCGAATGATGATAGACAATACCTCTCGGCATGGATCCAAATCGAGCGCACGCTGCCTTTTCTCTTCTTCGATATCCAAGTCTGCCTCTTTCCTCGAGCGATCCTTTTCGGCCTTGTTTCGTTGTTCGGTGCGAAGACGTTCGGGGCTGGGACTTCGTTCGTAGTTCGGGTTCCCGTAGGGCTGGCTCTCCATATTCATGATATAGGTGAACAAGGGTTGCATGTGGCATAGTCGGTAGCAGCGTTCGGTTTCCTCCTCACCCCGGCGCGAGTTCTCGAAGATGATATAGTAGCCGGTTTTGTCACAACGAATATGCTTGTACGAAAAGAGCCTCAGTCTCTTCCTCAAGTGTGGAACTGTTGTGCTGAGGACCGGGACGTAACAATGCGCAATGAAAATGTATGGATCGCGTTTAATCTGACTCAAGATGGGAGTTTCTTCGACCAATGATTGTACAACTGGCGACCGGACAGCGGCCCTAGGGCCTTCTGGGATAACGACCCCCGGCCGTAAGGATGATCTGCCCGAGGGACCTTTAGGTGCAGTCGGTGGTGGTTCGCTTTTCTTGATCTGGACATCCGGTCTCGGTTCGCTTGCGGGCGGAAGGGTATTCTTGGAAGCCAGTCGCTGGGACTCGACTGCTTTTGCGGCCATTCGATCTGAAACAATGCCGTCGCGGTCCAGCTCGACCCTAATCCTGCGTGTGCCAATCCGTTGTTCTTTTTTGCATTCGAAGTATGCACGCCGGGCTGCGCTGGACGCCGACGCCGGGCCATTTCCCCGGACTGAAGGGCTATCTTTGTATTTGATCGAACAGATCCCCAGAAACCGCCCGGTGATAGGATCTGTGCGGTTTTTGATTTCGGCCACATCTCCAAAGCTTGCGAAAAGCGCGCTGATTGGGGCGATCGGAGTCAAAGGGTCAAACCCCGTCACCACAACCTGTATCGGGGGCCCGGGGCCAATGCTCGTTGCCACGTCGTATGACCATGGCTTCAAATTGTAAGGCGCGGGTCGGTATTTTGTCTTCTGTTTGCAGCCAGATCCACGGGTATAATTGGCAATCGCCCGACGCGGATCGGGTGGTGCATCGGCTTGACCATTATTCACAATGTCCACATACTCGAGCTTTTTCCGCTTTTCTTTTGAGGAGGTCCGCTTGTCCAAATCGGGGTCGTACACAACCTTGCAGCCTCTCACACGAAGCTCGAGGTGTCGGGTTTGCGACTGAGGGGTCGGAGGAGTGTGGATTGGAGTGATGGAAGATTTGGTGACTTCGGGATTCGACCTGGAAGAAGTACCCGGAGAACGTCCGCTTGCGATCTTTGACTGTGAAGGACTGGTTAATTTGCAAGGGGGTGATGACTCCGCATTGGTGAGCGGTGTTAGTGTATCGATGTGTGATGAGACGGGAATTGCCGTAGGTGGTGGAGGTAGCCCATTCCGATCCTCCACACTTTTCGCCTTAGCGGGAATGGTTAATGCAAGCTCGTTGGGGACCGATGGAGTGCGAGCTCCCCCTCGTCTGTATTGGGTTTGAGAGGCGTCCCAACGGCCGCGGGTGTGCTCGGGGCAAGGGACACTGGACAATCCGGGGTGCTTTCCGAAATTTGATCACCCTCGACATGTAATTTCCGTCGTTCCTGCGCTGTCTTGAAGCGCTTCTGCTGAAGGACTGATGGGGCGGTGGGGAAGAAGTCTGCAAAGCCAGCCGAGGCGCGTGACATGGTGAGAGGTTGGCTACACGCCAGAGACCGTGGCGCGGTCAGAAAGCAGCATCCTTGACAGTCGTGAGTCGGCTATTGCGAACACATGCGACCGAGAAGGTCCCGGTACGGCAGAATTGAGGATATTAAGATGAAGGGGCTTGTGCGGTGTGTCGGTTTCAAGGAAAAGATGAGAAAATAAAAGAGATCAGAAGGAAAAGGAGGAGTGGAAGGCGATATCCCGCTGTTGAGTCTGCGGAGGTGCGGTTACGCGCAATTCAAGAGTTTGCAGGAGACTAAGACGCGATCGAGCGGAAGGAAGTGGAATGGTGGGGACGCGGGAGTTGGGAACTTCACGTTCTCAAGGGATATGAACTCCTATAAGGACAGAAAGAAAGGGAATCACGAGGGGGGATGAAGTGCGTAGAATGTATATAAATTAGGTATGAAGTGGTGAAATTCAAGTTCAAGTTCCCCCGGTGCCATTCTGGATCCCTGGACTTAACATTGAATGATTCAGCAAGGTCTTTTTTTTTTTTTTTTTTTTTTTTTCTCCCTCTGAAAGGGACCCCGAGTGACCTCAGCGATACTTAATGATGTACTCAATTAATGCCTATAATGGAGGTACCTATTAAGTATCTTTTGGGCTTTCATTAAGGAAATCAGTTTGATCTTGCATTCTTTTATTGTTATTGGAGCTGATTGATCTCATTAATAGGCTACAGCTACAATAAAAACATACATTGAATGGTCGATTAGTCTGAATAGTCTGATATACACATTGCACATTGGAACATACATATGTACTTGTATGTACCATATTTTAGGCCGCGAATACGAATTTCCCGATCGGGTTGCCGCCGCTTTATGTATGAGGGCTACGAGCTGAGGTTGAATCTCAATCAAGCTCTGTAGCCTGATAGATCAGGCACTAATGAGGCTGCTACCTGGCTACCTGGCTTAGCGTCAGGCAACACCAAGGCACCACACCCTCTACAGGGTAACTATCGAGCAGATAACTAACTAACTAGTTAACTAGGATATGTCACATGTTGAATATATTTCAATGCTCTGGATCTAAATGCCATTTTATTGACCCAACTGGTCATGACGGCTGAAGACTACTCCACGGCCAATGTAAGACAAGGATTATGCACACTACCTTACAACAACTCCCTAGGTATAGAACTCCCAAAACATCCGGAGTGGTTAAGGGGTTAGGATTTCCCTACTCATTCCCGGGTTGTGCCTATGCCTAGCCATGAGGCCAGCTGCGTCGCACTGTTCCCGTCTTTTTGGCTTTCCACCTAGCGGCCTAAGCTAGGGTGGGAATCACATCCGCCTCCCCCTCCGCAAAGGACTTCTAGCTATATGCCAGGCGAAACTCCACAGAAAAGGATCACTCAGTGCTTCACTCAAGGCCCTGCTCCTTTATCACCTGTGGCTGGCCCAGAGCGAGGGTCACCATGAGGGTGCATCCGTTAAGGCAGGAAACGGGTTCCTCAGCAGGCCCAGAAGCGGCGAGGACTGTTAACGCGTAAGCTACCATCTGCCGACATCACAATCAGGTCTCAGTATGCTGAAACTCGTAAGATGTGATGCATGCAAACCCCCAAAGATTGGCTTGAACCCGCTGTATTTGCCACAACTTGTTAACTGTCATAATGAGAACATATACGTTCCACAAAAATACACACATAATATATATATCCATCTCTCTCTCTCTCTCTCTCTGATATCATTATACCGAGTATTCTAAATTCCTGGATTCCTTATAATTATATCAAAAGCCCAAATGACAGAACCAGACACACAAAATGGCTATCTCGATGTTGGGGGTAGCTTCCTTAAAGAGCTACCAAATTCAATTGAAAGATATCCATACGAAGGAGAGTGTTCCTTCCTCAGGATCTTCGATCTAAAACTTAATTCCCGCAAATCCTCACATGAGAAAAACGATTTCATCCTGTTTCATACGAGTCGTGAAATGATCGAAACCCTGTTGAATCCGGACAACGAATCAAGCGAATCAACTACCCTTGCAAAGAACTGTTCCTCTTTTGATCTCGACGAGGAACTTATCCTGATCAAGATACCATCCCACGAACACTCGTCCGCAATCGGTGCCGTGGACGACGCTATCACGGGAGCTATCCAACCAATGGGGCTATTTAAGTCCCTGACCAAATACCCTGGCGCGACTATCCAAGGGCAAACAAGAGGAAAGCAACCTGACCAAGGCTGGGGCACAAGAAGACCCCCGCCTGGTTGCGAACGTACACCCTCGGTTGTGTTAGAGGTCGCTTGGTCTGAATCAGATTCAAAATTGAATTCTGATGTTCGATTCTGGCTGGCTCCAGCCGACGGAAATGTCAGGACTTGTCTAACTTTGAGAGTCGACAAATGCGAACCAGCAATCCGTATTGAGAACTGGAGACGCCAGAAGGGAAGACCCCACCGCGTCCAGATGATTGAGGTGACCAAGGTGTCAAACCACATAACTGTCACGAACGACCCGCTTATTATCCCATTCGAAGATTTGTTCCTCCGCGGGCCATCTATACCCGCCGAAAGAGACATTGAAATCTCGCAGCAAGATCTGGAAGTCATTGCAGAGACAATCTGGGATATTCAGGGTTTCTAAGCTCTTCCACCGCTCTCCTCCCTATGTTATGATCTTGTTAGGAGAGGTCTACGTTGCGGACGTCGATGCGTGTTTCGTGAAAATAGGAAACGAAAGCTCTACTCTGTGGAGTAGGCTGCATCCTTCATGGTAGTCACAGCACATGCTGATGAACCTTGCAGATACGTTGAGGGCCTTGAGTCGAAATTGGAGGCTTCCAATGCGACCATGCAAATCCCAAACCTTGCGTCCCAGCGCTCTCGACAAAGGAACAGAATCTCATCGGTGAGTCCTATGTGTGCAGCGTGTTCGAATACCTAACAGCTCACTAACCACACAGCAAGCGCCATTTGGTTTCTTCGATCTCGATGCTCTCTTCTCCGTCGCATTCGTATTGATCCTCGCCGGGAGTGCCTTTTCCGACGCGCAGCAAATGCGAGTGGTTCACGGCCTAAAACTAGCCATGAATTTGTTCGACTATCTTGCAGAACGTGGGAACAAAGCTTCCTTATGTCGCAAGACTGATATTGAGCAGATATGCAACCACGTTGGGGTCTCATTAGACGGAACTAACACGGCTTCGAGTGATTTACAAGGCACGCCGACGCCGACACAGCACCCTACAATCACGTCATGGTACGACCCAGTGGCTGAAATCATACGATCGCCCACACAGCAAGACCAGTCTGGGAATCAATCCGGTTATATTCATCCGCTACAGGACCCGGGTCTACTCCCGTTGTGGCAAACCGAGAACAGCTTTTATGATTCCTTCTCTGGTTCTATGCCTCGCGACTTGTACACAATCTATCAGAACAATGACCTGGCACTTTCGGGGTCTATTAAACTTGACTGGGAGGAGCTTGAGAGACAACTTTTGCTGCACCAATGATTTATTGTATTTCAATCAATAATTATAGGAGAAATCAAGGAAAATTTGAATATATCATACAGCCAAATATTATATGCGGCTAATCAGTCAGAAATTTATAAATTCTGTCCAGCGCCGTAGTGGCAGTGTGGACCTGTGTTTCCCTCGTGGTAGCGCCAATGTGAGGAGTACTGATAACCCGTCCAGTAGCCCAGAATCTCTCGTAGTCCTTCAGCACCGGTGGTTCAGTCATGTGGCAATCGAGTCCGGCACCCGCAATGACTCCTTCCTGAAGCGCCCGCAGCAGGTCATCCTCGTTCACGATTCCACCACGAGCAGCATTGATCAAGATAGAGTCTGGTTTCATGGTCTTGAGCCGCGGCCAAGCAATGAGATCTCTGGTACCGTTGTTCAAAGGCAGATGAAGCGTCAATACATCGACATGCGGAAGAAGCTCCGCCACCTCCTGAACCCGCGTGTGAGGAACATCTTCCCACGCATCCTTTGGTGCAAAAGGGTCATAGGTGTAGATCTTGACATTAAACGCACCACGGAACATCCGAGCCACTGCAAGACCGATACTACCCATACCAATGACTCCAATGGTCTTTCCAGTCAACATCACCCCGGAACAATGTTCTTTGCGGACTTATTTCCCAGCAGCTTGCTTCGCTGCGATTGGTCCGAGCTGTCTTGCAACAGCAAGCGTCAAGGCAAGAACTAGTTCGGCCACGGATTGTGCATTAGCTCCCGGTGTATTGAGAATCGGAATCCCGCGTGCTGCGCAGGCATCCTGGTCAATGATGTCGATTCCAACCCCTTGCTTGCCAATAACACGCAGATTGGGAGCGCTGTTGATGTCCTTGGCGGAGATGACCTTCTCGCGGACGAGGATCGCGCTTGCTTCCTCACGCCAGTGATCGACCTCTGGGTCTGTGGGTAGAACGGTGTGGAATCGCTGCTGGCAATACTCGACGGCTTTTGGTGGGAATACTTCGAGCAGGTAGATTGTAGGCTTTGGTGCGATGGATCCCATCTTGTAGTGTGTATCTGCGATGTAGATATATCAGATGGCTAAGCAAGGTATGTAAGGGAGCTTTTTATCCGTTAGGAATAGCCCTTTTGATTCATGTTCGGAGCCAGATGAATAATGTCAGTCGGGTAAGTGTGGGCATTTGGAACGAGCATTTCCCGAGGAACTGGGCGTGGTGGATGGGATTCACGAACCTAGTAAACATGTCAAAACTTGACCTCGGGAGTATGTACACTTGATCTCGGTTGATCGGTCAGACCCCACTATGGTGGTCAGCTTGAACATCCGTGGACCATTTCCACCGGCCTCAGGCGCTAAGCCAGGGTACGGCACTCATTTCACAAAATTAATCTCGACAAGCAGAGTGTGCAGAAATAGCAGATGGACCCATTTATGCAATTGAAAGGAGGGATAGAGATTCCAGCGGTAACGAAGACTTCTCGAGTCTTACGAAATGACGCAGCATTATAGCCTCGAAAAGTTCCCACAGGACGATGTAAGATATATGTGTAAGTTATATTGTCTGACTGTACCGGTATCCGCAAATGGATAGATCCAGGTTAAGAAGATGGAGGAACCCTGGAAGATTATATTGTCGATTCGGACCACTATCATTGTGTTAGAGTTTCTACCGTTTGTACCGTTTGTTTCTACCAATGCTGAACTTTGGACATAACATTCTTCCACGGCAGTGAACACTTCGTATCCCATGCTTTAGATCCCTACTGCTTGGCTAAAGTAGCCCCTAATCTTTAATATCACTCCTTGACTAGTGGCTGGACGACGGTGCGAATACATACTCCAACGCGCCTCAGAGATCTGTTCCTCTGCTATTCCATCGAGTAAAAAGTAGGGTCTTGTATAGATGTCTGGCAACGGGCACGCAGACTTTAGCTCCTAAATTGTCTCACATTAATCCCCTATTTGTCATTATTTCTTTCAACAAAAAAAAAAAAAAAAAAAAAGGATGTAGTGACATGAAGGGGGCACGGACTCGGACACGTCGTTGCAACAAGAACTAGGCCTGCCGGAATTCATACATCGTATCAGATGTAAGAAAAACACTATTCCACATCATCCTCGGAATAATCTTTTATATATTATTCTAACCCAATCAGCATATGCGTCACCACTATTTTCTCACCCCATCTCATGGGGTTTGGGTGGAGCTGATAACTCTGCCAGTGCACCCTTGGCTGAGAGTTCCCCAACTTGAGCACTTGGAAGTTCCCCAACTCGAGCACCCTGCACTGGTAGATATGTGGGATGCTCTGAAGCCTCCGACGTCCCTTCTGTTGGATTCCGGTACCCAGCATCAGCCTTGTTATTACGCCTGCGACTGATGAACCAAAATGCCGCTACCGTAATCAAAGTCAAGCCAGCCACGGCGCCAATCACTGGGCCTGCAATCCAGGCCTTCGAGGACGAGGGATGTTCTGAGGCCATTGCGGCGGTTGTCGTTGGTTTAGATATTGACGTCCCGGTATGGCCTGGGGATGCATTCGTGGCCGCAGTTTCAACGGGAAGGTTCTCCAAGCCCGATGGCACCGCCAAGGTATTATATTTGAAGTTGGCGGAAGATATGGTGGCGCTGGTGGTAAACACCGAGGAGATGTTTTTCGTGCCACTGGATATCCATGTGCTGGTCGAGAAGTAGCAAGAGGCACCAAGCGTCGACCCGGTCATGTTGCAGTCCAAAGTTCCAGTGACTATGAAGATAGTGCTGTTCCAAAAGCTGGTGACATCGTAATGAAAGTCCTGGAAGGACGGACCCGCAGTGAGAGTCTGGGGCAAGAGGTAACCGGCAGAGGTACATTGCTTGGTCGCGCTAGATCGGCAATCAATCTGATATGTGGTGGCTGTGGTATCAGCAGTTATGACGCTTCCTTCCACGTTGTTAAAGTCCATTTCGTGCAGACCCGGGAAGACGACATCGATGTTTGTCGATTGTGGCGTGGTGGCCGCTGCCATGAGTATCATGGCGGCTAGGGCCAGGACCATACTGATGATATTGATATCGTGAAGAGTCATCGTGTCATGCCGAGCAAGAGAAATGGAGGATATTTGACGTCCTAGTCTAGGGGATTAGCTTTTTTTTAATAACAGCTGAGATTATTATTATCAGTCCAAGCACGCACAAGGGTCCACCATGGCCTGCTAAGCCTACCAATGCTTGGTTAGTGGGAGAGGAGAGGACGGAAATGAGAAGGCAATTATTATTATGATTGGATCATAGCAGCAATAGTGGGATGTACAATATCCCACTAATCTTAAGATGTGATTTTGGTCGTCGATCCTATGTAAAACGCCTGGAGAAGGCCGAATAAATGTTGGTACAAAAAGTAGTCAGATTTAAACCGGTCTGGACATGATTCCCTTATTCTCGTATTCCCCTATTAATCCAATTAATCCGATTAATCCTACTAATCTCTCGAATTGGAAAGATTTATCAAGTTGGGCCGCCATCACTGAGAAGCTTAGGGTTTCGGGCGGATCCTGCAGGCTTCCGGCAGAAAAAAAAAGGGGAATGAGGCGGACCGTGCCCCCGGGCTGAGAGAGGCTTAGAGGACGAAAGAACTATGAACCAACCTCCAACTCTTGATTAATCTGCTAACTCCCTGGTAATTTCACTCGAATTATTCCCCTTGAGGCTCACACTTAAGAACCAAAAACGTCAAAAATCAATTATCCTATCTATCAATCAGATGAACCTGTTAAGAACTGGACCGGTTAAAGATAGGGGTTCGTGCCAATCGCTTTTGCTGATCCCCATCGTGTGAAAGGTATCCAATATCCATCAGATATTTCACACTACTCTCTAAAGCCAAAACAGTGTCTTTCATGTCGAAGTGACTGTTCTTCGGGATATCGTCTTGGTCCCCCATAAACTGCCATGTATTCTCCTCAAACCATCTCAACATTGGCATGAACGGATGATCAAAGTCTGCCCCTTCGACTTCAGCGTGCAACAGGGTCATCCATTTGTCATGTTCCATCCTTTCAATTGACAATCCCATAACCCTGCTGAGCGCATCGCAAAATGTGGAGACTCTCACTCCATCCGTACAACGGATTACTTCTGATGGATACATTTCCGGCTGTAGGAACATATCCGTGATGAAATTGGACACTTGGTCCACACCTGCAACGGTAAAGTAGTGAAGGTTCTCACTGACGGCTTTCAAACGTGTAATCGTGAAGGCGAGTCGCCAAAGGAAATCTTCTGAGTGTGCGATGCCTTCCTTCTGCGACCCAACAATGAATCCTGGAATCACAGTCTGTGCTTTTTGACTTTTGACATTTTCACAATTTAGATGTCTGTTGTACTCAGCTAACAGTAACTGGGACATGAACTTTGTCTGGTCATATCCCGATGCCTCGGAGAGCTTTCTGGCAATTTGAGTATGACTCTCCGTCTCTGTTGGCATGTATCCACCGGATACATAGATCAATTTGCAGGGAGAATCCATTTTCGAAAGCCCAGAAAGGATTTCAATGGTGCTATGGACGTTGACTTTCTCGAGCTCCTCATAGCTATCCATCCAGTTGACTCGAGCACCATTGTGAACGATGCAGTCGATGCGTTTTGTGCTCTCCCTTGTAAATAGCCGGTCCCAGTTGGACTCTTCCAAACCAAGCTTCGATCTGCTTAAATCACCTGTCCAGACTTCAATGCGATCTTGATAGTCTGGCTGCCACCATCGGCCAAGCTCGCCATGCTCTTGGACCTTTCTTCGCGCCTCTCGTTCATCTTTGGCGCGAACAAGTCCAATCACACATCCGATTTCGGGATTCTCGAGAAGAGAGCGCAAGATTTGACTGCCGAGGAATCCGGTGATAGATGTAAGGAAGATGGTTGCTGAGCGAGCCTGAATGAAATCGAGTTTCGGCTTCAGTTTCACGAGATCGGCAATCAGATTCCTGGAATCACCGTCTTTTCTTTCCAATGTAATTACCCCCGTAAGACCGTCTGCCATGTTGGAAACTGTCACATATTTATGCAAGGTCTCGAGTTTGAGTTTCTTCTGATATCGTCTCCGGATCATATTCACCAGTGTCACCAATTGCATGGATGTGAGGCCAGTCTTGACAAGCGAGAAGTCTCGTCCCCGTATGTAGGATGCAAACTCCTTGTCTTTAGTCTCTACCATCTCTGCAATCATATTGCTGATTTCTATCGCCATCCCCTTCGTCTCTGGGAGTTGAGGAAACTCGTCACTCAAAGAGCCACCTCGGCGACATTTCCGGATGTCTTTTTGGCTCATCTGTGAAAATTCACGTCGGAGCTTTTGTCGGTCGATCTTCTTAGACAGGGTGTGCGGCAATGAATAGATCTGCACAAAAGCACTTGGGATCATGTATTCAGGCAGAGATTTACGCAACTGGTCAGAAATCGTTTCAGCAAGTTCACTTTGCTGGTCGCTTGTTTCAATGAATGCAACAATCTCGGAATCGATTGCTCCATGTTTGGATAGAACCACTACCGAACGCCCAGTCGTCAGACATGAATTAATTGCGTTTTCAACCTCTCCGAGGTCAACACGCAAGCCTCGGATCTTAACATAACCCGTTTGACGACCCAGAAGAATCACATCGCCAGTTTCATCGAACTTGCCCAGATCTCCTGTGCGATATACACGAGACCCTTTCATTGGAGGCATGAAAGGAGCCCATTCCAGAAACGAGGGATCAAGAAGGGCTTGGGCTTGACGATCGGAGTCTTTGAGGAACCCAAGTGCGAGGTACGGACTCTGTATGAGAAGTTCTCCTTCCGCACCGAAGGGCATCAACTTGTGCGGATTGGAAGGGTCTGTGATCCAGCATGCAACATTTCCGATTCCCCGTCCAATATTCCTTGGATTATCACCGGCCTTCATCCCCATTTTCACCGTGTCCCAAACTCCAGCCTCGGTTAGTCCGTACAAGTTGTTCAACTGGACGTGTTTGCCCCATGTTGATATAATCTCCGCAGTTGGGGCCTCCCCTCCGAGTCCGAGACTTCGAAGGTTTGGGAGATTTTCCGGCCGGATTTGTGATACCATTGATGGAGTAAGCCAGGCATGGGTCACACGCAGATTGTGCATTGTTGATTCAAGGTCGCCGTTACGCTCTTCCTGGGATACCATGCAGAGACATCCACCAGCGGCTAGCGGAGCAAACACTTCCAGTATACTGGCATCGAAAGCAAGACTGGCGGACTGCATAAATCGGGCGGAGGTATCAATCTGGAATTCTTCGATGCATTCGAGAAGGCTATGAGAGACTGCTTCATGGCCGTGAATGACCCCCTTTGGGACTCCCGTGCTGCCAGATGTGAACATGAAGTATACTGGTTTCGAGCCATCGATATTGGTATCTTTATCCCAGTCTTTTGGGCTCTTGGCGTTCTCAAAATGCTTCGGTGTAATTAACGTTGCTTTGATGTCTTTGAATCTACCGAGAAGATATTCCTGGGTCACCAGATACCGGATATCAGCCCTCTGGACAGTTTGTGAGATCCTTTCCAATGGAGACGACGGGTCCATCGGAGCATATGCAGCGCCTGCTCTCAATATTCCGATTATGATGATAACTACCGGAATGGATCTGTCCATGCAAAGACCAACAGTGTCTCCAGGATTGACGCCTTGGTTCATCAGGACCTGACAAATGGCAGCGGACTGTTTTCCAAGGTCCTCGTATGTGATTCTCTGTGTGGTTGATTCCATTGCAATGCTTTCTGGGCTCAGGGAGTATTGTCTTGTGATGAGTCCATGCAGACATTCCGCACTAGCGTTTTGTTTGCGGCTAATGGTGTTGATTTCGCGTAGTCTTTCGATATCGAATGAGGTCACACTGTTTATTTCGTCGACTTTGACGTCCGGCATGCACGATAGAGCTTTATGTATACTCTGGAGGCTTTTCAATATGGCGCACGGCTTGAACTCTGGTCTTTTGAGGCCGTTGCTGTATACATTTGCCATGATGCGATCTTCTGAAATCGCAACAACGAGCAGCAATTCAACCTAGACTGACTGTCAGTTCTGCTGTGTAATAAATACCGCAGAGTTTATACCTCAAGTAGCTCAAGTGCCTTGTGTGGACATTTCATTTGTTCGTTTGACAGCACTAAAACAGCCGTCTTCTGTTTTGTGCTAGTGAGACCTTCCCAATCATTGGCATCAACCGCATGTGATACCGCATCTTTTAGTTCTTCGCTTGTAATATCACCATCTGTGGAAATTGACAAGTGTTGGCTGTGAAGACCTTCAACCGAGACCTTGGCAGACTTCACAAAAGCCTCTTCGTGTCGAGGTTGAAGGTGAATGAAAGTAGGCGAATTCGGTGCGTAGTAGTTCCGCAAGAGAACCGACCAAGCAGCCAGTATTGCTGCGTCCTTTCTTTCTAATCGAGACGGATTCTCGTCAAGTGCGGCTGTACGGCAGGCTGAGAAAACATGAGGATTCTCATCAACTGCCATACAGCGGTGTTCTGTAATAGTCATCGTGAAGGACTATCAGTAATGGAAAATGCAGGTTGCTTTCACGATTAGATCGATTTGTGGTGGTTTCCCAGTCTGATACACTACTTTATATAATTTCGCAACACCTAATTGATCTTGATATTCAAACAATATCCGATTCTCATCTCATGACTTCCAGATGAGCCATAGTAAGAAAGTTTTCTTTTGTGCAGATATATGCATGCAAGCTCCGTTCAATCAAGGGTTGACATGCAGGCAGCCGTTTCTAGAGGACTTGGACCGTCACTCCTACGGGAAAATAAGTCCAACAAGTTAGAACCTCCCAACGTGTATCATTTGGTGACACAAGTCTTCACCTCGTGATCTAAGGGCGACCATTGCTATGGCGATCCTGTTCGAACATGATTCTTGTCCAATCGCCCTCGGAGTCTTTCCAAGATCGGCAGGACTTTTGAGTGATCTAGCGATTTTTGTTGAGTACACTGTTTATGGACTTTTGCAGAAAGTATATCCAGAAAGTGCTTGGTATGTCTGATAATTCCCAGAATAATGCTAGGGGCTCTCAGGTTTGTAATTGCAATTAGTTGATTATAGTGATATATAATCCAACTGATGAGCTGGCAATAGACACATCTACGAAACTTGTCACTATATTTGAGTCTCACATGGTGACTCTGAACGGTTATAGTCGTTGGAATCATATGTGGTCACTCATTCAAAACTTAGACCTTATTTTACTGTTAGCTCTGCTCATAGGCTGTGACCTCTACAAGGAAGTTATTGTAAGGAGCATTCTTATATCCACAAACACGTCAATCATTTATCACACCGCTGCCACACATTGCTTGGTCTCTATGCAGACATCCCCAATCATTATTACACGCTCGATCATTATTGTAGAGCATTGGTTTGACTATCTCTGATATCATTTCGCCATACGTTCACCTCTTGCGTATTCATGTAGTCACTGTCAGGTGTGTAATACAACATTCAAAGTTAAATATATTCTACTGACATCTTGGATGATCTGCCATGGTTTGAGAGCAGCTTAGTGGAGTGGGGGTTGGTTCATAGTAGAATAATGGGAGAATCCCTGATCCCATTGAATCTCAACGTGGGATTTCTTTGATATAAGTTATGGAAGCAGTACCCATATCTGGATATCACCCTTACAATCAATCAATCCAGCTCAACATTACAATCCAAACTGCCATTAATCTACTTAAGATGCCTTCCAACGAATCTTCCACTCCTCAGCATGTAACTGTCTCTATACCTGACAAGGGTCTCTCAGCTGAAGATGTGGGAGAATTGTTACAAAAGCACATGGCAGCAGATACACCTCCCTCCCATGATCTTGGACGGTAAGGTCTTCAACATTCTGCTTTTAAATCGAGAACACTGGCTAATATATGAAGAAATGAAGATTTACAACAACCATGTTTGATGAGACGGCCATCAATGTCATGGTTGCAGGTAGTCTACGAAATCAACCATGCATTGAGGAGTACCCATCTCTAGCAGAGTTAGTTAATTCATCTTATAAACTTGTTATCCAACCACGAACAGATAACTAATGTCATCATCTCAACACAGCTTTCAAGAAAAATGTGTCTCTATGCTCGCCAATCTTTGGAATGCCCCCAGTGGCTTCTTCGGTGCCGCAACGACCGGGTCATCCGAAGCCGTTCTTCTCGGTGGTCTCGCCATGAAACGGCAGTGGCAGCTTGAACATCCTTGGTACTTGAACTCCCGTCCTAATATCATCATCGGTGCGAATGCACATATCTGTGTCAACAAAGTTGCAAATTACTTTGACGTCGAGGCTCGGATCATCCCTGTTAGTGAGAAAAGTGGATATTCATTTAATCCCGAGGGGTTGGAAGATCGCTTAGATGAGAATACAAGCACGAAACCCTATATCAAGGTCCAATTCTTCTCATTTATGCTAACTTTTTAACTATAGTTGGTGTCTTCTTGACTCTGGGGACTACCTACACTGGACATTATGATCCTATCCAACAAGTTTCAAGAGTACTAGACGAGTACGAGCATCAAACAGGGAACAATATCCCCATCCACGTTGACGCTGCAAGTGGTGGCTTTATTGCACCTTTTACTTCCAGCAACACAAATTTTATCTGGTAAATACGAGTGTACCCTCCATCAAACTTCAGAGGCTAATACAGCGTTTTCCTGGCAGGGACTTTCGACTCCCTCGCGTCCAATCTATCAATGTTTCAGGACACAAGTTTGGCATGGCACCTCTAGCAGTGGGGTGGATAATCTGGCGTGAGAAGTCACATATCCCCCAATGCCTCCTACTCGAGTCTTCCTATCTCCGGGGAACTCAGAGCAATTTCTCTTTGAGTTTCTCGAGATCTGGTGCGCCTATTGTTGGTCAATATTACAATTTTCTTCGTTTGGGGCTAGCTGGGTATCATGAGAGAACTCATAGCTTGTTCGACCGGGCTTGCCATTTGAGTATCCGACTGGAGGAGACGGGGTATTTCTCCTGTTTGAGTGATGCTCATCGGCGACAGATACCAGGTGTCTGCCATGACCTCTGTCGAGAGGGTGATCGGGTTACTGCTCCTGCGCTTCCGGTTGTGGTTTTTAGACTCACCGATCATGTCCGACGACTCTATCCGAAGATGCAACTGTCCGATGTGAGTGATGCAATGCATGGTTTCAAATTCTCTATTCCAAGTAAGTATCTCTCGTTATTCTATTGGGTGTCATCTACCTCACACGGGTTCAGACTACAATCTTCGTGGCTGGGGATATCATGGTGAAGATATAGAAGTCATGAGAATAGTGCTTCGTGACGAAATGACCATGGAGATGATGGGAGAAGTGCTCTCAGGCATAACTCGGGCAGTTGAAAGACTGATAGACCAGGTATAGATGGGATAGATGGGCGATGCGGATGTTGCGTATTGTTTTAGCAGATAAGTCTTTGCTTTATAGATCCCAGAAGCTATAACGGATGCCAGAATTCCCTTGCATATTCCGCCTTTATATAATCTAATTGTTTCACCCAAAGAAATCGAAAATGGGCAAAAAAGGGGTGGAAGGGCCCCATGTCACCGTTTATAAGCTGAGATTAAGTCAGGTAATGCTGGCTTTATCGCAATGCTGGCTTTATAGCTAACATTAGGAAAGATAAACCCTAACGCAACTAACTGCCCGTTTAGGGCTATGTCATCACTGTCTCTGGTGTGTTTCTGTCTCATCCCCAAACCAAAACCGGATAACAGATATTCCACGGTCATTGTGATTGAACAATAGAGTGGATTTCCCATCTATTGGCTGTTGAAGTTCAAAACAGAGCTTCACAGCTGGGATGGACCGCTCGCGTTGTTCTTTGAATGGATCTTGTACTGTGTCTAGTGACCCTTCAGTACCGGAATATTTGCCATCCAGTTCATCCACTACGCCTTTTCTTCGATCAAGGAGCCCATCAGACCCCACATCGGGAAACATATCCAGGATACGTGAGGCTTTATCCACAAGAGCTTCGAGCTCTTCGACACAGCGACGCTGGTACCGCTTAAAAACCATCCGCTGTTGAGGCGTACAAGCCGGGGCCTTACATGCATATCCCAAGAATTCCAACACTGCGTAAGAAAGACGCATGCGGAAGTTGCTTTGGATGACGTGGACGCCAACATAACACGGGTATGTGTGCTTCGGCTGAGTGTACGGCGTCGTTGGGTGGTCTATCATACAGTTTGCCATTGCCTCGTCGTGGGATAAGGGATGAGTTATTTGCTCCACTTCATCCATCTCTTGAAGGATGGAGGGTGAGCTGGACAGCACGTTGTCAAGGTCACCTGTATCAACTAGGGCGCGAATGCGGCTGCAGACGCGGGCACATTCATGTGAGAAAATACATGCCCTGAGTATTGGATATTCTGATAGTTCGCAATATCTATGGTACTCAAGAAACCATGTCAATACCTCTTCACATTCTTGGCCAGACATGAATGCTTGGGTTTCCTGACATGCTGCTGTTAGCCACGAAGACAATATGTGGACAGCTAACTTACCACGTTTGTAAATATAATGACAAAAAGATTCCGCCCGCTCCGGGTAATGAACTGCTCCGACCCACGTAGGCGAATTAACTTCGACAATACTTGGTTATGGAATTGCCATCCAGGAGTCGCGACCGGCTCAGTGCCCTTTCGTATGTCCAAGAGGAGCTTGATTCAAGTGTCAGCAGAGTCGGAACTCGCCAATAAATACATCGAATCTTACCTCATATAGTCCTAGCAGCCATACGGCTAATAATGTATTGTCGCTTTTGCATTGCTGAGGATCCTGAATGGCTGAACGGGTGGCCATAAGCGCCGATCCGTATGCTATGGCTCGATCCGAGGTTGCCTTCGAAGTCCGGGTAATAGTGGCCATATAAGCGCGTGCGACAGCATTGCAGGCCTGATACAGAGCAGACTTCTCCTCTGCTTTGGAAAGGACTTCGGGAATAGTATTGAAGATACTTTTAGACATTTCAAATGCGAGTTTGAACTTGTTTATGACGAAGGGCATGAAGTGGGCATTCCACGATTCAGCTAGAGAGTATATTAAGGGGGGATTTTGTCCAGAATGTAGTCGAACTTCATCAGTTTGCTCTGAGATATGCGTATATGGGATCATTTCGTCCAAAGGGTATCCCCCAAACAAAGGAGATGAACTTCCAGGACTGACGAGATCGGACTATTCAGTGTGATTATATTATCCAGGGTCATTTGGTGTGAATTACTCACGTTAACAAGTCGATTGCTGTGGAAATCCTTAACTGCAAAAGGGGGGTGAGGATATCCATCACATTGACGACCTGTAGAAATACATCGTCGACACTGAGGCTTTTCTTCATCACATTTGACTCTGCGAATTCTGTAACGGGGTCAGTGAGCGTTTCTAATATTGAAAAGGAGAGCTTACTTGCAGGTCATACACCCAGACTTAAGCTTAGGTGCCCACTTCCTCCGACGAGCAGACAACTGTGATTTCCCGACACTTGTCATCGCGGCTCTGCCCAAGGACTCTTGACAAATAACGAGCACTCAGTCCAAGCCTCCGACATGTGGTTGCTGTTTGTGGGGGATTCCGAGGATATAGCGGGGCATAACACTTGGGGGCCCTAAATGACGGCTTGTGAGTGGATATGTTCCATTCATCACATGGAAAAGTTCATATCCGGTTATTTTAGATCAAAGATCTATGTTGTATGAGTTATAGATCAGGTTTGGATACATATTGTGTCATTGTTTGAAAAAGCTAAGAGAGCTAACAGAGGTAGGAATAACTTATAGGCCTTGTTCCCCCCAGACCGCCGCTGGTATCGTAAGGGGCTGATTTCCAAAGAAATAGTCTCAAACTTGATATTAGGTGTCCTTCGATTGATAGACACGATGACCACAAGATTCACATGGCCGTTCGAGTTCGTAAGCCACCATTCTGTATCTGCCCTCAACTTTTGATAGGACTTCAGAGACTCTAACTTCGACCACGAACGGTCGGCTATTTTTCATCGTGACCTAGAATATGTTGCATAGGGACCCACGAATCGTCGACCTCCTTTGGAGAAGGCACTCTTCGGACGCGTTGTGACCCTGTCGCGCCAATCGACTGACCTAGTCCCATATCGCGTATAACATTTTGTACTTCATAAAATAGCTCGCGTGAACCTACCTCATAGGCCCTAGTCACGAGCTTTATGATCATAGATCGAGTGTCGTAACTGAACATATGTCGAGCGGGGCTCAAAGAAATTTTTTCCGCAATAGTTGGTGAGACGTTTGTGAAATAGGTATTTTATCACCTTTATGGGAAGGTTCTGCTGTATGATCTTCTGGATAGCGCGGGCGTCCGACCCGATGGCTTCAAATGTGTCATCAGTTAGTTCTTGGAAGCAGTCCGCGTCAGTCGGGCATATCTGAATGCCACGACATAGTGGTCAACATGGGCGTTTCCGAACTGGCTGACATTTTTGGTCTCCGAAACTATATAGTCTTAGTAAATATTGGATAACCTTGGAAGGTTTCTTGTAATGAGTCACCCTTACCTTATCATTCGGATGAAGGCTGGAGCTCGTCGATAACGAAGAGAAGGAGAACAATCACCGTTGCCATCACCACTGGCATAGTGTGACGATCATCCTCGTCGATAATAAAGAGAAGGAGAACAACCAACGAGGATGATCGTCACACTATGCTGGAGAGCGAGAGAAGTGAAAGAAGAGATGAAGAGAAGAAGAGAAGAAGAGAAGAAGAAAGAAGAAAGAAGACAGAGGGGATGAGAGGGGAGAAGATAATGGAAAGATAGGGTGACATCTCCTACCTAGTAAGATAAGGAAGGAGTAGGGGGGGCTTTAGAAAAAGCCGCTTTTAAGAGATGCCACTCCTTAGTTAGCTTAAGATGGTATAAGGGCATGACGGCAATGGCCACCAGGCCAGCTCAAATTAGTTAATGATTGTAAAAACTCCCCTAAGCAAACCAAAAGTAAAAGGTGATCAAATCCCGAGAAAATCGGAAGTAAAATCAATCTCATTCTAAAACGAATTCTTAGAGACTAGTGGTGATTGAACTGGAAAGTCATCTATTGCGCAGAGAGAGGAGAGAGAAGAACTACCTACAACATAGGGTAGGTTACTTGACAGCATATTGGGGCGCTAAGCCCAAAAGAAAAGACAAAACTAACCCGATACAATAATTCATAGATCCGTTTACGATTGAGATAGTTATATTTTTGGCTTTGAGCAGCGTAATTTTCAATACCATGGTGATGCAGCCGTTCGATTTTTCTGAAACTGATATATAGTGTTCAAAAGTCTTATTAATAGCTATAGAATGACAATGGAATCAAACAACAACGTGGTTGCTAAGATATAAAATTGTAAAATATCGCATTTACTATGGTGCCCTGAGGTGGCCCACTCGCTTGTGTAGCTCACTCGCCTGTGAAATACGTTACTACCCTCTTTCTAGCTTAAAGATCGTATGTCTGCGGCCCGGATGCTGTCGACGACTGGGGATGCATCCTCGGTGTCTACGGCCGGGTCGAATGGAACTGACACATGGCGGTACTCAGTGGGAGCGAGTGATGGATTCAATTTGGATGGAAGTATGGAAGAACTTGTATAGACCGTCATGTGTGGACCAAATTATCTATATATGTACATTCATAATGCGGATGTTACATCGGGCTCGCGAATCGCTGTATTAGCTCGAGGTAACCGCCTCAATCATATGCCCGAAACCTACATCGGGCCACCCTAGTATGTCCCGCGCATATGTCCCGCACATCAACATAACTCAATCCATTAACTCATAAATATAACTGCTCAAAGTTATTGAAGCTGAGCTCCCAGATGTCACTTGCATTCTATCAAAAAAGGTCCACGTGCTCGTGTATCAAATTCTGCCAGCACTCCCAATCAATCTGTGAAATGTCCATCGCCGATGCATCTAGGTTCTCCACTCCAATCATAGAACTTTCTAACTCCCCAGGGATCCAGTTCCCCGGTGCTGAGGGAAGCATGGGCGGGCCACCCACCGGAACCGGGGTAGGCGACGGAACCCGAGACTCCCCTCGGAGGGCACGAAGCCGCGCAACCGACTGGGGCTCAACTGGCTGGGAGAGAATCGGGCCTCGTCGCATCCAAGCCATTCGCACATCCCATGCCCGCAGCGTGAGTGTTCCCAACGCAAAAAAGAGCGTGTTCGTCTTCGATGCCGTGATCAGGTCAGCGTGGTCGTGGTACGCCTGATCGACCTTAGTCCATGCCTGGTCTACTCGCACCCCTTCCCGCCGGGATGACAACTCGGTCACCACGAGAATAAACGCCTCAAAGGGGAAGCTCATCCCGACATGCCAGAGATACGGCTGGAGATCGTGGCTCGCATAAGTCAGGTTGTCGTATGTTAGTACCTGAAGACCAAGAGAGAACAGCTGGTCCCTGTCGTCCGGCGAGAGGTCGGCACATCGACGGGGATGTCGGGTTGCCAGACGCATCTGGCAGACTGAGGACCGTGCCAGATACAAAGCCAATTGGTGGAAGGGGATCGACGGGTCGCAGTCCTTCAGGTAAGTGTCTTCCACTTGGACCTCGAGTGTATCGATTGCGCGCTCTTCGGCAATCATCCTCTCGGCCATGGTACCCACCGCCGGTTGATGGTCCATGGCTGCCAACTTACGCATGCAATCGCCGATCTCAAATCGGATCTCGCAGAATAGCATCTCCGTGGCTCCCGCCCGATCACGGGGCAGCTCCTGCATCGACGGCGACAGGTCGCTGTCGCTCACGTTGCGTGGACGCTCGGTGTCCCAGAAATTATACGAGTCGGCGTTCATGGCTACACCACACAGCTGTGCTGCGCGGCTATCCATGATGAGAATCTGCCACCAGAGTCGGCGCCGCATCTCGCGCTCGAAGACGGGTAGCAATGCGAGGCTGCGTTCGCGGTGGAGGCCCATGGTTCGGGATATGCGACTCGCAATTCCGGTTAGCAGCCACCTAGTCTGCGCATCGTACCGCTGGCGGGTCGCCAGCTGAATTCTGGTTAGTCTTAATTTGATCGTGGAGTGGAGGCGTTGCATACCAGGTAGAGTGACAATGCCTGGAGGATCAAAATGTTGGTGGATCGGAGGAAATTGGCATTGATCAGTGCCTGCTCGGCTGCGCGCGAGAATCTAGTCATCAAGTCGGACCGGGATCCCCCCAGCATGCGACGGCTGGTCTCATCGTTCGTCGAAGCCACCGCACATAGGTACATGCTGAAGAGCAGCACTTCCATGGGCCGGGAGATGTGATTCAGGTCGGACGCGGCTTCTAGAATCAGCTGCTGGGTAGATGGGGCGTGGAGAAGCTTCACAATAGGGTTTACATTGTTCAGGAAAATTTGCCATAATTGGAAGATCTGCGGCGTTTCGGGATGGAGGGAGCGCACTCCTATTGGGGTGGATGAACGGAACAGCAGCATCTCCCCATCCACATTCTGCAGCGGTTCGCTCTCACTTTCATCTGCCACACTGCTGCATCTGCTAAGTTCGGTAGTCAAGCCTTGCCAGAGGGGACTGGAACAGCACAACAAGGCAAGCAGATCAGCCGACGTCTTCTCGGAGCAGAGAGAAAGAGTGAGTTGGATTTTCTATCTTACTTCTCCACGTAACGAGACTGTGCTTTCTCACTAATTAAATGGCCTTCTGGGGCTGACCGGGAGCTATTGGTGAGACGAAGAGAAGGCTTCTTGTCGGACTCACCCCGGTCATCGAGGGATATTCCGTGGGCCTGAAGTGCTCTCTCGCAGAGCTCAAGTCGCCTTGCCAAATGATCTGCAACTCCGGCAACTGCAGAATCTTTGTTTTTTCGGCCCTGTGTTTTCGGCCTGATGCGTCTTATGCATTCCTGCCCGTTCCGCAGGCAGGTTGAGCATGGTCGGTGGCCATCACAGCGTACTTTACGCTGTTGGCAGAAGTCACATGAGTGGCCGCGAGTAATTCTGGGACCTGAAGATAACATAATGCCAATTTCTTAGAAGGGAAGCAGTAGATTACTGGGAACACTTCTGTGTTGCACAGAGAGAAGAGAGAGAAGAAGAACTAGCTAGCTAGCGCACATTCCTCGGGTCTTTACAGGAGTATATGGTGAGGTCTAAGTCAGGGGAGTCACCGGGATATGTATGACTCGGACCCGTCGGTCCCGTCGGTCCCGGCCGGTCCCGCAATGAGGACAAAATTAGGCATCAAGGCACGAATCCCATCAAAGTAACCCTAAACGCTAACTAACTAACAACTAGTTGGTTCGGCACCGAGACACTGTTCGTCCCACTGCGAATGGCTCATTATTTGATAGTACATGAATACCTGTGGTAATTCTAGAGCTAATACATGCTAAAAACCCCGACTGCATCCTATTGTGTACATATATGTATTATTGAGTATTTATAGTCTACTCCTTTCCCTAGACGTCTCAAATTATATTAGCCAATTCATTGCAAACACTCACTCACATACATCGTTTAACAACTATTCTCGATCATGGCTCATTCAATAGAAGAAGAGCAACGGCTTGACCAGCCGGGCAATGGCTCGATTGCCAACGAGAAGCCCTCGGAGGTCAAAGAAGACGAGAGTCGGTTTCCAACTGGGATGCGGCTGGCTGTCATCATCATTTCAATTCTATTTGCTATGTTCTTAGTTGCCTTGGTATGGCTTTCATAGATTCACCGTTGTTCACACGAATGTACTAACGGCTCCTTCGCACTAGGATCGAACTATCATTGCCACCGCAGTCCCCCGAATCGCCAACCAATTCAATGCCCTCGACGACATCAGCTGGTACGCCAGTGCGTATCTCTTGACAAGTTGTGCCACCCAGCTCTCCTGGGGCAAAGTGTACACTTACTACTCGACCAAGAACGTTTTCTTAGCCGCAATCCTGGTCTTCGAAGTCGGATCGGCGCTCTGCGGCGCTGCCCCCAACTCGAATGCCTTCATTGTGGGACGTGCGATAGCAGGTATTGGTTCAGCAGGTATCTTTTCTGGCGCGACGGTGATCATCGCACAGATCGTTCCGCTAGCTAAACGGCCTATCTACGTCGGTTTAATGGGCTCAACATTCGGCTTCTCGTCAATTATCGGACCCCTACTCGGCGGTGCACTCACAGACAAAGTTACTTGGCGCTGGTGCTTCTATATCAATCTTCCAATCGGCGGTTTCACCCTCTTAGTCCTATTCCTGTTTCTAGCGGTCCCGCCGCCGCCCCATACCTCCACCTACACATGGAAGCGGCAGATCCTCCGCCTGGACCCACTAGGCAGCGTACTGTTCCTCCCTTCCGTGATCTGCTTCCTGCTTGCCCTACAGTGGGGCGGCACAACCTACCCCTGGGCGAATGGACGCATCATCGCGTTATTCGTGATCTCAGGGATCTTGATGATCGCCTTTGTCGTCGTGCAGGTCTGGCTCAAGACAAATGCGACCCTGCCTCCGCATATCTTCAACCAGCGTAGCATTATTAGTGGAGTCGTCTTCGCTATATGCGTCGGTGGCGGGCTCATCTCTATGTTATATACCCTACCGCTATGGTTCCAGGGAGTGCGCGGCACCACTGCCGTGAAATCTGGCATCGACACGATCCCTATGGTCCTCGCGCTTGTTGTCGGAGCCATCCTTTCCGGTGGTATCATTACCGCCACTGGATACTATGTTCCATGGATGTTTGTCGCGGCGGTTCTTATGTCGACCGGCGCAGGGTTGATGACGACCTTTAGGTTAGACACCAACCACGCTGCCTGGATTGGATACCAGGTGCTATTTGGTATCGGTATCGGTACTGGACTGCAGCAGCCGTCTCTAGCAGCGCAGACTATCCTCCCTATGGAAGAGGTCGCTATCGGTGTCTCGCTTATGTTCTTTTCTCAATCGCTCGGTGGTGCGGTCTTCATTGCTGTAGCTCAGTCGCTCTTCCAGAATTACCTCGGCGCAGAATTGCCCCATATCCAGGGGATCGATTCTGGTAAGGTTCTAGCAGCTGGCGCGACGGGCCTAGTCGATGCAGTACCGGCTGACAAACTGACTGAGGTTCTGATTGTGTACAATGATGGTCTCCACCGGTCATTCATCGTCGGTGTGGCTGTTTCTTGCTTGATGATCATTCCGGCGCTGACGATGGAATGGAAGACGATCAAGAAGGACAATGGGTCTGTCCCGGCTGCTTGAGCAACTTTGTGTGCGCGGGTGAGGAAAGGTGTGTTGAACTGTACTACCACTTCACTTCATAAACCAACGACCAAAAGCAAGATAGAGATGTACGAAGAATGGAAGAGTGAGAGAGGGGGAAGAAGAGCGGCCTAGGCGGGTCTTTTATGTCGGAGGTACGTGACGGCGCATTGGGTCACTGAACCTAAAAAGGCAAAACTAACCGGATGCAGTAATTCACAGCTCCTCCGTTTACAATATGTATCTACTTTGGGGATTTCTGAACTTTCCAATGAATGTGGAAAGTGTTGTGATTGGATATATCTCTTGAACCTTTCCCCAGTGAGCCACTGAAATGAGGTACACTTAGCAACCAGATATAAATACATGCTATAGTTATTCAACCGGTTCCACGGCCTCACAGGAGTTTTGCAGTCCCAGCAAATGAACAAGAATGGTTCGCTATATCCACGTGTACCTAGGTATGGCAGACAGCATGTAATTACCACGGATTCTACATACTAACATATTCAACTTCTAGAGTAAGCTACCAAACACAAATTTGAGGGAAGTGCTCATTGGTACGATAAATAGACAACGAGAAACATTTGCTTTCGCCTCCGATAACTACGTGGTAGAAGTCGGAAGAGATCTTCTGATGGGACCATGCCATAGTGTCCTCAAGCCGACTGCAAGGCTACGAGCTAGACGAATACGCAGAAGTGAAAATACCAGGACGGCCACTTTCATGATGCCAGCCCTTTAAAGGGTTCCCATAGAAAAATCGCTGTTCCAACAGTATCTTACTTTACTAGTAGCTCCAAGTTTACTAGTATCTCCAAGTAAGTTACTAGTTAGCCATACCTGACAACCTGACAGCTCGCTCGGTCGTAATTTATTCTTGCTACCTTCTATTAGTCATTATAACCTACTACCACCCCCCTACTATGACCTACTAGGAGCGACTGGTAAATTACGACCTGACAACCTGACAACCTGACAACCTGACAACCTGACGACTACTGCACCGTACTCGAAGGGAAGGAGGAATTGCTCTCGGTTATAATTACTCAACGCCTTTGGGACTGTCTTTCAACCATGGCAGATCTTTTTCTACTTATCTCTTACTTTCATTCGTACATCTCTAGCCAAAAGATGCGCATATATAACCTTGGAACCTTGGAATGGCCTGCCAAAATTTGGTTGATGATGAAGATCAGACGTCAGGACTGAGTTGAATTAGTTAAATCATCAGGACTAAATGAAATTTTCTTCTCTTCCATCTCTCAAGGTCCTTTCATCTCTGAATATATTCAAAATGAAGTATTCCCCAAGCACCTTTCCACCGAAACGCCAATGGCCTAAGAAGATACCTCCCCAAATAGCATACTTCGTATTTACGACCGTTCCGACCGCAGACGGAATTTGTTTTGCGCTGACTTGTAAATTCATGCTTGCCTTTTACCTCTTCCTTCTTAAGAGACGAGGAACGACTACTATACCTGTGACACCTAAGATAATGTTCATAGGCGTCGAAAGCCTCCTATGGCACCGAATAGGCCTACTTCGCCGACTCCAAGATCCCCGATGGAAATATTGCGATCAATGCTGGATGCTCCATCCACGCTCGGTTTGGCAACCTTTCTGGAGGCTAGACTATAAGGTATGCTCTTATGGCTGCAATACGCTTAGTAGCCGGAAGTGCTATTTGCCGCACGCCGGTGAAGTCGATATGTGTCCTTGTCATATTCTTAATATACACCATAAGCTACGATTGATCTCGATGTTCTATAATCAGCCCCTCGACTCTAAAGGCGACGTTTAGCACTTAACCAATCACAACTGCAAATGCGAGATGTTACTATATATATGTACCTTCAACGACAACCCCATCGCACAGGTTTAAATCAACGTCTCGTTCTCGTTCGGCTGTCATGATCAGAGCTTACGTATGCGCACTCGGATGCTCTTCGATTTCACAAAGTCGACCCCTTCGCAGCTAGAAAACTTCTGGAACACACGTGATATATGTGTGCGTGAAAATCCTGGAAAGTGGGTTAGACAATTTTTCTCTGAAGGCGATAGTTATTTCACCTCACACATGGATTGGGAACCCTGCCAATGGTTGAGTTGGGATATAAGTGACGAAGGACCACTACAGATTACCTTGAGCCGCAACCTAGGGAAGCGTGAATGGCCGAGCAAGGGCTGGATTCGGAACTGTCGGAAACATCCCAAGTAGTATTTGGTTCTTTTCTGTTTTTCATTATGACCTATGGCTTTAAAATAAATGGTCGATCAACCGTTTTCATAGTAGTGTTATCGTCAGGTTTCTTAATCTTTATAACTTAGCTTCTTCAACAACTCTGTTGGATCTCATTCTCTGTAACTTAGCTTTTACAACTCAAAACTCAATCAATCTCACATTGCACAATGCACTTTGACGTCCACCACGTAGACCTCTCCTAACAAACTCAATATCAATTTTACATTGGGCCATGCGCTTCGACGTGCAACATGTAGTCCTCTCTCCTATTACCACGTGTCAGCTAGAAATGCCCTATCCCGTATACGGGCGACTAAGTATATATGCTTTTTATCAAACTTAGCCAGTTCGGGACAATATCTTCTGATAAGGGAGCCTTCTGGATCCCACTTCTTTCCGAATGCAATAGGCGAGTAGCAGCGGTAAAATTGAGCGAAAAATGCCGTACAGGAGAGCCACATCCAGATTCCCACGTTGCAGGCGACTTCGTCTGCCGTCCATTGTTAGTTCTCGTCGGAATCGTTTGGACGACGAAGACTCACGATCAATCAACAATTCTGCAAAAACCTCTACACCCCGCTCCCATGATACATAACACCCGCCTCGAGTCAGAAAGCAGGCAACGCTGTGGCTTCCTAGATGATGGATCCAGCCCTCCTGCTTCAGCTGGCGCATCAAAGCATCGATCCATGGGAATCCGCTGCGACCCTCCTTCCATCGTTGAAACCATTTCTCCGCTTCTTGCGAATCCACATCGTAGGACCCGTCAATTAACACATCCTGAATGGGAGGGTTTGTTAGAAGCTGCCAATCGACGAATCTAGCAACCTCGTTTCCATATGTATGCGAGAATGAGTGCCCAAGAGGTGCCTGGGCGGCGAAGTACATATCGCGGAAGAGCAGCCGACCAGAAAGATTAGTAGGCACAGTCGAGACTGGCTTTTTGGCCTTCCGCCTTTTCTCCAGAACCCCTTGGACATCCCACCAAAACCTCCGCACGGACAGCGAGCCGAAATGAAGATGAGGGGATACTAATGTGGTTGACTGGGGCTTGAAATCAACTGGCGATGTATTGGGCTTTTCAAACCTGCCGATATAATCCTCGTTTTTAATACATTCCCCTAGTATTCTCAATGCTTCTTCCTCGCCTCTTCGATGAGGAGTTGTCGCCCGGCAAAGATCAATGCCGATGTCTTGCCAGGGAACAGCAAAGTCCCTTGTGGGACCTATGAAATCAGCAGATTGTTTATCTTTCTTGGTACGGTGTTCCGCATTCAAGGCAGGCTGACTATCAATGGAGTCTCGTTGGAGACTGCTCAAGTCCACACGCTCCTCATCCCAAGGATCGGGAATGCTTTTAGGGGGATCTAGTGGCTTCTCCGGGTTGCCATTATTGATTTTCACGTCAGCCTTTTCCAATTTGATGATACTCATTGTTGGTTGGCCATTACCTTTCCGCGCAACCTCGTCGGGGTATCCAACAGAGTCCGGCCCATCTTGTCAATTACCTCGACACCAGCCTTCTGGGCCAATTGCATAACCGCATTAAATCGGTCTCGAGCATACGCATCTGTGTCCTTTTCAAAAACGAGATATGTCACACCCCAATGCCCCCAGAGTTTGGGAAGAATAGTCTGTGGTCCCTCGCGCACAACGTGGAGCTTTTGTATCGGATTGAGATTTGTATATACATCTGAGCTCATCTTGGCTTCACCCGAAGGTTACTAGTCACCGACCCTGCGGAGAAGGGAGCTCGTCGTCGGTGCTATGTAATAAGAATAAGTATATAAGGATAAAGTGAGGATAAGCTAAGAATAGTCTAAGAATAGTCTAAGAATAGTATAAAGACCCGTCAAAACCCCTCCACCTTTCCTTCAAACTCCCATCTCCCGTCTCACCCGCAGCCCCCACTCATCAGTATCCTCCCCCAAATCCACCTCCTCAAGCTCGATGCCGTTGGCTCCAGACTCTTCATCTCCCGCGTCACCCCTACGCTCCCTATGCTTCGTAAAAAGCCGCTTCTGAAAAACGGCCAGCTTACCTAACGTAAAGCCCCCTCCCACCGTACCCACAACCGACGCAATCCAATTTACGGCCTCTGGTGGCATTTTGTTGATGTTGTGTTTGTGTTGTTACTTTTGATGTTTGTGTTGTTACTTGAAAGAAAAGGAAGAAAAGTGGGAAGTGTCACTTAACAGTCTATTGGGTCACGTAGCTTCCATAATTGTGTTAGTTACTCGGGAGATGTCAACATAGGTTTGTAAGGAAAGTGCGACCTGCTCCCTGCTTTTCATGTCTTCCTTACCCTGTTTTGACCTTTCCCTCACTTCATCTTACATCGCTCTTTGAGTCGGACCTCAATGGTGATTATGTCTGAACTATTCGTTGATTTAAACTTTGCAGCAATGACTACGACCAGATTCGGTCTCTTCACGTCGCCGCCACAGCGCTCAGCAACCGAAGCGCCTACCTCCAACAGCAGATGAAGGCGACCCCCGCCATCCCATACTCCCATACGAGCTGGCTGGATGCGGTGGCAAGCACGATGCTGTTTGCTGACCACAAGCATGAGGAGGTTGTGAAGTTGCTGCAGCAGACTCATAGCGAAGAGCTGATGGCAGCCAAGATCGGCCACGAGGAATCGGTTAATGCAACATCGGCAGTCAAGGCGGAGGCAGAGACTGCGCGAGTCCAGCAGCGCGAGGCGGCGGAGGAAGCAAGCCGCTTAACGAATCAACTCGCCGCCAAGGAAGCGCAGCTGGGCGAGCTGCGGACCGCCAATGCCAAGATTGCCGATGACCTACGTGTTAAGGGGGAAGAGCATCTCAAGGTCATCAATGACCTTGAGAGGGAAAAGGAGGAACTGGACGGTGCAGCGCAGGACCTTGTTGAGCGCGGAGAGCAGTTGCATCAGCAGGTTGAAAACTTGAAGGGCAACAATCGAGACCTGCTGGAGCAGAATAGGGAGCTCCTTCTCCGGACTATAGAGTCCGATCTCGACCTCCACCAGGCTCGAGACAGAGTGGGCAACCTTGAGCGCCAGGTAGCGGATTTGGAGGCAGACATCACCACAGCGGTTAGCGGGATGCCCAGGTGGGGCTTAGTGCTGAATAAGTCACTGTCAGTGGGCACCTGGGCGGGGGTCGGTGCTTATGTAACACTCAGGGGTGTGCTCAATTTTACTGAAGAGAAAAAAGAAAAGCGGTAAGGGGTGAGCACTAAAAGGGGAAAAGGGAAAGCCATATCAGCTTGAAATATATCTACAACATGCGGAGTACAGTGCAATTCAGGTAAGTACGGGGTACTCCGTAGATAACAGTATACATATTCGAGCTTACTGGTTATAACTCTGCCTTTGTCCTGCCTTTTTCTCTTCCTCCTCTCGAAGGCTGGTATAAGGCTGATATATACTCCGTATAGTTAGAGAAATTAATCACGTATCTTAGATTATCCACATCATATGTTGTAGGTGACCTATGAAGAGCCGTATAATCAAGTAGTGTAGTGGGTAGTCCCTCTCAGCCTCCGACTCTGGGTATGACATGGAAAGAGAAAATATATTTCCGGGGGCAATTAATTGCGGACCAATAGTGGTATAGTTATGTACCTAGGTAGTCGGCGATACCGAGTCCAGGGGTATCATAAAATAGTTAAATGGCTAAAATAGCAACTGCAAAGGCGTGGAACGTCTGTCGAACCTTTTCCAAGGTTCCTTTTTAATCCAGGGGATCTTCCCACTAAGGCCATGTGCCGGAGCCACTAAGTGATATAATTATAGAAATTTTCCCCGTATGGCTTTTTTTTTTCGGACGTCTTTCTAAAAAGCTCAGCCACTTTTTTTTTTTTTTTTTCCTGCTCTCTCTGCTAGCTCCGATTTAGCGTGGGATATATTGGGCTAAAAGAGAAAGACCAATATAGAAATCAGTGGGCAAATTCAGTGCCTGGTACCTGGGCAACCAGGTACTCCGTACTCCGTATTGAAGTTGCCAAGAAAGGAAAGAAAATAAAATGTACTATTTGTTGACTCCATAGTATTATTGACACTATGTAGGTACTATTTCACAACATTATTCCAGATTTATTTATATCTTAACTAAAGTAGAATGATTAGAATATAATATAAGTTAAGATAATATAGGATAATATAGGATAATATAAGATAATGTAGAATAATATGTGTGCCAAGTGAGACATATGATTCCCCTGGGAACCAAAATTGGTCTGAGCACCCCCCTCATTGGACCAAAGCTTGCACCAAAGTGCAAGAGCTAATAATAATCCGCCCCTCCCCCTACCTTCTCTGTTCTTGCCCCCCTCTATAAATACGAAACACCTCTCTACCTTTTCTTGCCTCTTTCTATCTTTTCTCCTCTCTCACTGCTTTCGTTTAATCCCCCTTTACAATCCATCTACAATCTTTATTCTCTCAATACCCTTGTTTTTTTTGCATTCAACTTTTCTTTATTGCCCATCATGTGGTAAGCTCTTGTCTACATTCACTTCCTCAAATGGTCAAATACTGACAATCAGTTTAGTGGAATCTTCGGTTACATCAACTACCTCGTGGAGAAGGACCGCAGGTTCATCATTGATACACTGCTTAATGGTAAGTGACCAAAGAAAATTGAATGGTTTTGACTTTTTGCTCACCGTCATTTCCCAGGCCTCTCCCGATTGGAGTACCGTGGCTACGACTCGGCTGGTATGGCCGTGGACGGCAACAAGAAGAATGAAGTCTGTGCATTCAAAGAAGTTGGCAAGGTCGCCAAGTTGAAGGAACTCATTGAGCAGAGCTCATATGACATGACCAAGACCTTTGAGTCTCATGCCGGTATCTCTCACACCCGTTGGGCTACTCACGGTACCCCCTCCCGCCAGAACTGCCACCCCCACCGGTAAGTCTCCCAAAGTCGACAGGGAAATTCATTCCCCGAATCATCGAGAGATTTTGAGAAGCTAATTGGATTGTTGTCGAATAGCTCCGATGCCAACTGGGAGTTCTCCGTGGTTCACAATGGTATCATCACCAACTATAAGGAATTGAAGGCTTTGCTGGAGAGCAAGGGCTTCCGCTTCGAGACTGAGACCGATACCGAGTGCATCGCCAAGCTCGCCAAGTACCTCTATGACCAACACCCCGACATCGAATTCACAGTCCTGGCCAAGGCCGTCATCAAAGAGCTTGAGGGTGCCTTTGGTTTGCTGCTCAAGTCCGTCCACTACCCCCATGAGGTCATTGCGGCCCGTAAGGGTTCCCCCTTGGTCATCGGTGTCAAGACCTCCAAGAAGATGAAGGTGGATTTCGTCGATGTTGAATACTCGGAAGATGGTGTCCTTTCCGCGGAGCAGGCCTCCCAGAATGCGGCTGCCAAGAAGTCTGCCACAAGCCTCCTTGCCCCTCCCGACAAGTCTCTGTTGCACCGCTCCCAGTCGCGGGCATTCCTGTCTGACGATGGCATCCCCCAGCCCGTCGAGTTCTTCCTGTCTTCTGACCCATCTGCCATTGTGGAGCACACCAAAAAGGTCCTCTACCTGGAGGATGACGATATCGCCCACATCCACGAGGGACAGCTTAACATCCACCGTCTGACCAAGGATGACGGCACCTCCAACGTCCGTGCCATCCAGACCATCGAACTTGAGTTGCAGGAAATCATGAAGGGCAAGTTCGATCACTTCATGCAGAAGGAGATCTTTGAGCAGCCCGAGTCTGTCGTCAACACTATGAGAGGTCGCCTGGATGTGGCCAACAAGAAGGTCACCCTCGGTGGTCTCCGTCAGTACATCACCACCATCCGTCGCTGCCGCCGCATTATCTTCATTGCCTGTGGTACCAGTTACCACTCATGCATGGCTGTGCGTGGTATCTTCGAAGAGCTCACTGAGATTCCTATCGCAGTCGAGCTCGCCTCCGACTTCCTTGACCGACAGGCCCCAGTGTTCCGTGATGACACCTGTGTGTTTGTCTCTCAGTCTGGAGAGACTGCTGATTCCCTGATGGCTCTTCGCTACTGTCTGGAACGTGGCGCCCTTACCGTTGGTTGCGTCAACGTTGTCGGATCTTCCATCTCTCTCCTCACCCACTGCGGTGTTCACATTAACGCTGGTCCCGAGATCGGTGTGGCCTCCACCAAGGCATACACCTCTCAGTTCGTGGCCATGGTCATGTTCGCTTTGTCGCTGAGCGAGGATCGTGCCTCTAAGCAGGAGAGACGTGAGGAGATCATGGAGGGTCTTGGACAGGTCTCCGAGCAGTTCAAGCAGATCTTGAAGCTCAACGATTCGATCAAGGACCTGTGCGCCAAGTTCTTCAAGGACCAGAAGAGCTTGCTGTTGTTGGGCCGTGGTGCTCAATTCCCCACTGCCCTTGAGGGTGCCCTGAAGATCAAGGAGATCTCATACCTCCACTGCGAAGCCGTCATGTCCGGCGAATTGAAGCACGGTGTCTTGGCTCTTGTTGACGAGAACCTTCCCATTATTATGATTCTTACCCGTGACAACCTGTTCACCAAGTCCCTGAACGCCTACCAGCAAGTCATTGCTCGTAATGGTCGCCCCATTGTTATCTGCAACCAGGATGACCCCGAGTTCTCGTCCGCCCTGACCGAGAAGATCAATGTACCCAAGACAGTGGATTGTCTCCAGGGTCTGCTCAATGTGATCCCATTGCAGCTTATCTCTTACTGGCTTGCCGTTGGTGAGGGACTGAATGTCGATTTCCCTCGCAACCTGGCCAAGTCGGTCACTGTCGAGTAAATGTTTCTTTAGGGCAAGGTTAGACGATTCTTATGATCCGGTCATCTTTTTATCTTTAGGTGTTTTCAGCTTCGGGACAATGCAATCTCGTTTTGTTTTTTATCACCATTTTCTAGGCCTATTGCATAATAGTGTTGTTTACTGTGAAGAATGCGTGTCTACAACATAGTTATATAGTAGCTTGTATAAAATCTTCATTGGGCCCAGTTGCGCTCAATTGCCGTGGGTGATGACATTCCGCCTTCCCCCGCCAAATGCGGGACCGAGGGATTTCGCCCCTCGAGCTCTTCTGATTTATAAACACTTGTGTCAAGCTCAATTCTCCCAATCCTCAAGGAAAACCACATCTTCTCTCTTTTACTGAGCTAACCATCACTCTCCAAAAATGACCACTATCAAAGGCCCCGGCGCTGCCCAGACCCACGATGGTAAAACCGAACAACAGCCCTTGGAGAGAGACCCTCCAGCTAACAACGACTTTACAATAGGCTCTGGACTCCGCGTTGCAATTGTGCACGCCAGATGGAACACAGTGATCATCGAACAACTGGTATCAGGAGCGAAGAAGAACCTCCTCGCAGCCGGCGTGCTGGAGGAGAACATCACAGTCCAGACAGTTCCCGGTAGCTACGAGCTGCCCCTCGCAGTGCAACGGTGAGTGCGGGGATGATATCACACATTATACACACTATCTATACCACACACTGCCCTATAATGTTTATATATATCTACAGTGATAGCTTTTAACTAACACTTACTTTCCAGCCTCTACGCCGCCTCCCAGCTCCAGGCCAACTCCTCCGTCCAGGGAATCAGCTCCACGGACCTCCTGTCATCCCCCACGGCCGAGGTATCGAGTGCTGGCAACTTTACAAGCCCGAAAAAGCCCTTCGATGCTATTATCGCTATCGGTGTTCTCATCAAGGGCGCGACTATGCACTTCGAATATATCGCTGACGCTGTCAGCCATGGCCTCATGCGCGTCCAGCTTGATTCCGGTGTTCCTGTTATCTTTGGTTTGCTTACTGTTCTCACCGAAGAGCAGGGATTGGAGCGCGCTGGTCTTGGTAGCAGTGGTATGCACAACCACGGTGAGGACTGGGGTAGTGCTGCTGTGGAGTTGGGTCTTAAGAGGAGGGAGTGGGCTGAGGGCAAGATTTTGTAATTCTTGCGATAGATTGGCGGATTTCTATTGGATCTTTCGAGGGTTAAGGGCTACGATGGAACCCTCCTAACATATGTGGTGTGGATTTTTTTGGAACCTTTGGAAACAACTTGGTCATTTATGGTAGATTTGGTTTTCGTTAGGAGTAAGAAAGGAAACACCTTCAGAGAACCCATAATTCTTCAGGAGCATAATCTATTACATGTTCACTCTTCCATCTGTTCGCCTTGACCCTTGTCCTCCTCTTCTTCATCGTCCCCTTCCAGCGCCCGCTTTGCTGCTTTCTCTGCTTCCTCGAGGAGATCCTTGGGAACTTCCTCATGGCGACCCTTGGTCGGTCCATCGACCGAGCTGATCCACGTCATCTCGAGCTCGAAGTCCTTGTCCTTGCTGTCCTCATGGGAAACATAGATAATGCGGGCAGCTTCCTTCACACCATCTGCCAAAGATAGATTGCCGGAGGTCAGGTCTAGTTTCTCGAGTTCAGCCTTGGCGGCCTGTCGTCCTTTGCCAGTAGCAGCACCGTAGTAGCCCTACAAATTCTCGTCAGCATATTCATCCACTTACAAACAAACAAGTCACAACCTACCCAATACAATCCACTAGGCTCGATCATGTATAGGCCAGGGCCTCCGGCCTTAGCACCCTCAACCTTACCACCGGAGCCAGACTTGGGTCCATCACCGACCTGTCCATCAACTGGAAGCTCCGCCTCGGTATCCCACCCGCCAACAATAGCAGCTACACCGAAGGGCCGTACGCTGGAGTAGAGCGTGTATGCCTGCACATACCCACCCAAGCGATTGGCCAGCGCAGCGGTCGGAATGGGACCTTTGTATGTGCTTCTCCAGGAGGAAGCCTCATCTCTAGCTCTGGAAACGAAGTGACGACCATCGGGGACGAGTCCAGCGGATACCTGCATTGGTAGAAAGAGACCGGGTTAGCAACGGGGTATTTCCAAACGGTCCGTGATATCATGGTTTCGATAAAAAAACGCATTTGAGAAGGGGCGATATAGGCAAAGGGTAAACAAGGCGGGGTCTCACAATTCCGACATGACGGTCGACTGTCGCGATTCTCTTGTTCGCGCCTGGCTTTAGGAGCTTGCTAGTGATGATCTTCTCCACTGCCAACACAACACCATCCTTGCATCTGATGCCGACGGCGGTTCCTCCGTTCTCAACTGCCTTGACGGCATACTCGACCTAGATGGTATGGTCAGCAGCTTGAAGCTGGGTTTCGTGGCTCATTGAGCTGGGTTGTGTTTGGTTACCTGGAAATTCCGGCCGTCTGGCGAGAACACCGAGTTGGAAAGATCGTATCCTGTGCCGATTGACGTCTGAATAATCACTCTGTTAGCTTGATTGGGATACAATATAGAATATTGCGTAGATCCGAAGCTAACTGACCATGATTTTGGTGAGAATGCGATGCGGTGAGGTTCAAGAACAACAGACGTCACCGAGGGTAGGTCGGACGATCGAGAGAGTTTATCTGTATATTGGACAGATAAGGGAGGAGAATGGTCGGTTTGGAAGGTGACTATGGATAGGTAGGGTGAGGTTGGAAGCTCTGGGGATGATAACGGAGGTTCCTAGGCACTAAGCAGTGACGCTGTCGCGTCACGGGGTTGCCTGAGAGCTTCCAGTCACATGACCGTGAGATACCTAATCGGTACTTCGGTTTGTATGTTTTGTCTAAAGGATTTGTAGGTACTTTCTGAGTACCTTGTAGTATTTCGTATATTATTGACATATCATAAACACAATCCATGGATATTGGCATATATCGGCTCATTATGGTATATATTATAGTCATAATATGCAGTATAACATTTGAGCGTCTCTAGTGGCCCCTCAGGACTGCAGCCCAACCGAGCAACTTGGGCATCTTTGCCCCTCGATCTAAACAAAAGAGGCTCTCAAAATTCTTTCTTGTGTTCAGTTTTACAGGGAGCAAACATTCGAGGAAATTCGACATTTTCCTATTCATTCGGATATTGTTGAACTATACAGAAATTCACCCCGCCATGTCTTCCTCGATATTACATCAGTGCCCGCACTGCGGGCACGCCTCCGATATCTCAAATGCACTCGCGGCCTTTATCGAGAACCCTCACTGTAAACAGGTAGATTGTGTCCGTCCTTTATCTTATTCTACCAAGGAACCTGACCAGGCGGATATATATATAGTGCGGGATGTCTGCTTCGGAAAGCAACTCGAAAGTGCAAGACGAACTTTCAGCTCTGTTTGATAGACAAATGAGTATGACACAGCTGCATTCCGCCCCTAGGGAAATCTCCGTACCACCTCAAGCATCAGCACCTGCATACAGCATTACCCAACACTACCACCACTCGGCCCACAGACTCGCCCAGCACACGGAGCAACCTTCAAGCATTGATGTTCTGCGGCATCACGGTCTTGATCCAAATGCCCTTACTCCGGATCAGCTTGCGCTCTTCCAAAATGCCGATGCAGAACAGAAACAACGGTTAATCCAAACATGGCAGCTCTACTCGCAGTTTGGAAATGAAGCCAATGTCCCTGCTGGCGACCTTGCTATGCATGATTCTGCCATGGATGACAGTGTGGATGGAAATGTCTATACTGATGCTGAACCGTACATGGTATCTGGCTACGAGAACATTGTCAATCAAGCGTCTCATCTTCCAAAAGAGCCCACCACTGGTGAAACCTATGTTGGCTCAAAGGACCCAGTGTATCAAGGTCAGCAATGGTGGGAGCTGACAAAAGCTGGTCCGATGGAATCGACCTATGGTGCTTTTGAAGAAATGAGACGATATTACCCTAGCTGTGGTGTATACCACCATTAGTTCTGTTAGTAATAGATCTAGTGACACGAATTCCTTTTGTATATATGTTCATATCATTGTTGTTCTTACCGTCCGTTTGCCTATAGATGCCCCGACTAGTATAAAGAAAGTATATCAACTAGATACTACACTCCTTCAGCCTATCTAAAGGTAAATTTACCAAACCTATTGACCACCTGAGCCGGTCCGAACATCCTGTCTTCTAGAATTCCGAATTGAAATGATGTGAGAAGTGGATGGAATTCTTTGATTCTAGATACATAGTATTTCTCTGGGTAATCCATCAACCCCACAATTCAAATGCTGATTTAATCAGAAACCAATGCCACGACCAACGGTGAAGATAAAAGAGTGTTCGCCATCGGCAATTTTCATAAAACATAAACCAATCCACCACATGCCAACTGGGCTTCCATAAGTGATTTCATATCGAAAAAGTAGTCGATGGTGTGCATATTGGGAATTGGAAAGAGAGCTATAGAGCAATCTCTGTCGATAAATGCAGAACCACGGAATTCAAAGTAAAGGAGACACTGGGGAAAGTTAGTCAATTGATTGTATAGGCATGATAGATGAAATTGTACTATACCTTTACTCAGTATCCTCTTCCTCGAGAGCAGCCATGGCGGCAGCGAGAGCGTCACTGGTACGCTTCACCTCATCGGCGGCATCGGCGGCACGCTTAGCCTTGTAGCAACCCTGGCCAATGTGGCCACACCACTTCTGAAGGACAAGGGGCAAGTTCCTGGCCATGGCCTCGGCGAGAGCATCGGCAGAGCGCTTGACATCAACGGAGGCGTCAGCAGTTCGCTTGCAGCCCTGGCCAATGTGACCACACCACTTGGGGAGAGTGGTGCTAGGACCAGTAGCGGCGGCCTGGACGGTGGCAACGGCCATAACGGCGACGGCAACGGAGGTGAACTTCATCTTGATTGTTTGAAGGGAGAAACCGGGGGGGTTTGAAGTTGGTAAATTGGAATGAAGAGCGAAGGACAGATACTGAGAAAGCTCGATAATGGAGATGTCTGGAGAAAAGAACGAGAAGACGAACTGCAATGAAGTTTATATATTTACGAAGATCAGGTATCATTGTTGGTTCAATAGTAGTCTCGTTATTGAGAAGAGCATGTTGGCCATGAGATTGTAAAACCCGGTTCCTCTGAATAGAAGCATGTCGAGTTCCTCAATAGAGTTCTTTGTGGACGGATATTGGCCTTAATAGAAGGTACTGTTCGAGGTCGCCCGTTCTGAATAACTAGGGTTCTTATTGACGGATCTCAGCTGTGACACTCCAATAATAACCTCAGGTCTGGTATAGAGAGGGTCTAGTATAAGCCATCATCTTGAATGATTCGATAAGTGACTTGGAACTAGAGTATATTCATTAATGATGGAGATATCTTCTTTTGTTCGAGTTGACCACTAACCTTGGGGGAATGTGACATTTGAGGAACAGAAAAGGATATGAATAAGAAATGGCGAAAGAGATTTCAGTTTGGAGGGGTTAATGAATAGTTCATTGTCTTGTCTTGTCGTGGAAGTCCAATAGTCCAATTGAGATAAGATCGGGCCGGCGCTAAACCACAAGTTGTTGGATGCCGAGCCCATCCGGAGCCTTTTTTTCCCGTTTTCATTCCCTTTCCCAACCCCCCTCTGAGTCCTCTCCTTTGGTGATTCGAGATATTTGTCCAATTTCTTTGTTTAACCCTTAATCATTTGAAAAATGTTCTCTAGAACGGCACAGCCTGCACGGGTATGTTATCCCATCCAATTTTTGCTTTTTCCACCTTTCCATGTTTCCGCAATTTCAATCCTTTTCGCAGGGTAGTTTGGGGTCCCGGCTTTGGCTAACCTGTCCTTACTCTCTCTATAGACTCTGCTCCGCAGTGCCTCCGGAGCTTCGTCTCTCGGTCGCTCTATTCCCGCCAGAAGTACGCCCATTGATCTTCCTTGACGTGTGCCTCGAAGTCCCCGCTAACGAATTTGCGCAGCCTTCGCCAATGTTCAGTCGGATATCTTCAAGCCCACCAAGTATGGTGGCAAGTACACCGTGACCCTCATCCCTGGTATGATATACACATTTTGCGCATTTTCTGCTTGCATCGCGCATGCTCTGGACTGACACTACGACAAGGTGACGGTATCGGTGCTGAGGTCGCCGAATCGGTCAAGACCATCTTCAAGGCCGACAACGTCCCCATTGAGTGGGAGCAGGTCGATGTTAGCGGTGTTGACGCCGGTAACAAGCACTCCGAGGAACTCTTCCGCGAGTCCCTGGCTTCCCTCAAGCGCAACAAGCTCGGTCTGAAGGGTATCCTCCACACTCCTATTGAGCGCTCGGGCCACCAGTCCTTCAACGTTGCCCTCCGTCAGGAGCTGGATATCTACGCCTCCATCTCTCTGATCAAGAACATCCCCGGTTATGAGACTCGCCACAAGAATGTCGACCTCTGCATCATCCGTGAGAACACCGAGGGAGAGTACTCCGGCCTCGAGCACCAGTCGGTCAACGGTGTCGTCGAATCCCTCAAGATCATCACCCGCGCCAAGTCCGAGCGTATCGCCAAGTTCGCTTTCAGCTTCGCCCTGGCCAACAACCGCAAGAAGGTTACCTGCATTCACAAGGCCAACATCATGAAGTTGGCCGATGGTCTCTTCCGCAGCACATTCCACAAGGTCGCTGAGGACTACCCCACCCTGGAGGTGAACGACATGATTGTGGACAACGCTTCCATGCAGGCTGTGTCCCGTCCCCAGCAGTTCGACGTTATGGTCATGCCCAACCTTTACGGTGGTATTCTGTCCAACGTCGGCGCCGCCCTCGTTGGTGGACCCGGTCTCGTCCCCGGTTGCAACATGGGCCGTGATGTTGCTGTTTTCGAGCCTGGCTGCCGTCACGTCGGTCTCGACATCAAGGGCAAGGATCAGGCCAACCCCAGTGCTATGATCCTGTCCGGCTCCATGCTCCTGCGCCACCTTGGTCTCGATGACCACGCCAACCGCATTTCCAAGGCTGTCTACGATGTTATCGGCGAAGGGTGAGTGTAGACTAATACCCCTATGAAAAATGACCATGCTAACTCTCTTCTTCTAGCCGCACTATGACCCGCGACATGGGTGGTCAGGCTACCACCCACGAGTTCACCCGGGCTGTTCTGGACAAGATGGAGGCGTCTCTGTAAATTTTGGAATCCCGCGCACTCCAACATACCTACCGCTACGATTGAGGATGCTGCCTGACGATTCTTGGAATGTGTTTTGCGCACCGTGAATTGGTCGGTGTGGTCCTCATTTGATGTATTATCTTTCCTTTCCATTTAGCTCGAAACGTTCTCCGGCAAGTTATAGCAATAGACAACTTTTTTTTCTTTTGTGATCATAACGTGGACATTCATTGCATTAATAGTTGGGTATAAACATCAAAGAAGGCCATGAATCTTCAATGGGCCAACTTCATATCACGGTGCCCAGAAGGTAAAGAGCTCAACCTCCAAACCTCTCAACCCGTTGGGAGGCCTCTAGTAGGCACCACACAGTCGACTAAGTTGACCCCCATGAGCAACCCTCAACAAGACCATGATCCAATTCCGATTCAGACGTGTGGATAACGCCCAATGGAAGGCGCATACACAGACAGAAATGGGTGAGAGTTATGTACTTTGGGGATGACTTGAACACTCTTTCCTTCCATCCAGGCTTTTTCTCCTTTTTTCTCTTCCTCTTTTTGATCGAATCCACCAAAGACGCCCGGCGGTGCACACGTAAACAAAAGCAGTTCAATCAGAAAGCGATTCGTCGTTTGCGGCCAGTGTATTTCGAGCTCGCCTTGACGACCTTTCCCTTCTTCGCCATCTGCTCCTTTTTGTTCATAATCCAAGACTTATCACCCTTCCTGGGCGGCCCACGAGCATTATTGACCTCCGCAGCCTTCCGTCTCGCATCCAGAACATTAACATCATCCATACCGTTCACAACACCAGTAATATCACCCGGCAAACCACCACCACCAACAGTGAGAACAAGATACAACTTGCTACTCTTAGTCCCAGGATCATCTTCCAGAATACCCGCACCAAAGCCCGCTTTGATAGCAGCTCCACTGATCATACTCCGCTGGACATCGTTTTTCGGGTAGAACTGACAAACCGCACGTCCGCCCCGACGAAGACTGGCATACAGACCTTCGAAGAAACGTCGCAGACGACCTTCAGGACTGACATCGCTGGTTTCCGCATTGCACAGCCATTGGATTGCACTGATGCTGATTGCGGCGTCGAATGTGCCTGGTCGGAAGGGCACGCCTTGGCCGATGTCCGCGAGGAATAGATCGCCTTCCACTTCGCGTTGTAAAGCCACGTCCAACATGCTCGGGGAAATATCCATTCCGATCCATGTGTGCGGGCCGCCTTCTTCGGGGGTCACTTCTGAGAGCATTTCGCCGGAGAGGCCGGAGCCGCAGCCGAGATCGAGGATGAAAGAGGGGGATTTTAGGTCGAGGAGTTCGAGGGCGCGACTTGTCATGCTCGCTTGGATGTTGCGAATACGTGAGGACTTCGTATACTTTCGGGATTCATTGTCGTTGTAGAACAGGTCCGGAGGGCTGAAGGTTTCGAGATGATTAGTTTTTTGTTTAAATTTCTTTTTCCAAATATGTGAAACAGGGCCAGACTGTCATACAGGATATCTTCAGGGCGCGACATGATGTGTGGTATTGAATGTGTAAGTTGGGTTGTAAGTTGAAGTTTAGAAATTCCATTAAATTATTTTTGGTGGTGCTGCCTGAGGCATCCGTACCCCAAAACGTCCACGTTTCTCCGATTGCGTCTCTCTTCAGAACTCTTTCTCTGAGGCTGATTGCCTCCTGCATTACTTTCCAACACTGTTACTCCATTCGACAGCTCTATATTCACTGGGCATCATGTGGATTCTACCGCTAGTTGGATATTTCGGGGTGGTTGTCGGGTTTGCCTTTCTCACCTTGGCCATAGGTATGGAGACACATGGAATCATGATAACAATGGAAAAGCTGACATTTGAAACTCTAGCTTCGGGACTCTACTATCTATCCGAGCTTGTGGAAGAACATACGGTTCTTGCCCGCCGTGTATTGACCCGTCTGATCTACGGCATCGTCGCGATACAAGTTCTGCTTATGATAATTGACCGTTTCCCTGTGTCATTATCTCTACTGAGCATTGCGTCGCACATGGTCTACGCCAGCAATTTGCGTCGCTTCCCTATCGTGAAACTCACCGATCCTCTTTTCCTCCTCTCCTGCCTTCTAGTTGGTCTCAACCACTGGCTATGGTTCCGCCACTTCTCGAAGCCTTTGCCACCGTCGAACAACTGGCGTCAACCATATGGAGTCAATTACGATGAGATGCCCTCTTTCTCCGAAGTGGCTTCATACTTCGGGTTGTGCGTTTGGCTCGTTCCATTCGCTCTGTTTGTTAGTCTAAGCGCGGGGGAAAACGTGTTGCCAAGTATGGGCTCCGAGTATGTCACCGGGGCCAACCCCACTGGCCTAGGTCCCTCTGATGCCAAGTCCAAGAACAAGGGGATGGCCAAAGCCTTGGTGGACAGTGTCCGAGATTGGACAAGTGAGACCGGTGAACTGATGGGTCTCTGGAGAGGAGAAAGGACAAAACGATTCTGAGTGAGCAAGGCCATGGGAATTGATGTGATATATAGATAAAATGAAATTTGTATTTTGCCATTCACAAATCGTGTAAATTGTAAAATATAAATCGGCAAATCGTGCCAGCCTCCATATCGCGTAACCGTGGACTAAATATCCAGATAAATAAGAACAGATGATAATGTATGGACATCAAGCCATAGTCGAAGCGCTGAAACATGGGGTGAAATGAAATAAAAAAAGGCGAAGAATAAGAAGAAAACGAAGGGAAAAAAAGAAGGGGGTATAACGACGGTCAAAAGTTGCTGACCATGGCATGGGAACTCTCAACTCCAAGATGGACAACCCATTAAACTTGGTGTGCGCATCTTGATTACCATTATCATTAAAACATTCCCTCGCGACTTTGATGGCTGAGATTGCCAAGTGGGTTAAATCATCATTCTGCAGTCGTGCAAGTCATAATTTTTCAGGACAAGAGCGGCAGGACCACTGGGATAGTCCGAAATCAGAAGGGCGTAGGGGAAAAAAGAAAAGAAAAGACCAGTGAGAAGCGAATCATAATTCACTTGCCCTGGTAGATGGAAGGATCTTCATGGACAGCATTAGCAAAGACCGTGAGGATCATCTCGTTCTTGGGTCTTACCATCCATAAAGAGCATTGAACTCTCCCGTCGCTTCGTTTTTGCTGTGCGAGTGTCATCCGAGCTAGGCCCCAACATGCCATTCAAAGAAGAATACGAATCGCCGGCACCCGCAGGTTGGTTGTACTGCTCATGCTTGGACGACGCCGGTTGGTCATAGCTATGTTGCATCGGGGTGAAGCCAGTATCATAGTGAGTTCTGGGGTCATCGGAAGGACTGTTCACGTTACTAATAGGTTGGAACGAAGTCTGCTGATACGAAGGCGTAGGGAGATCCGAGAACATTTGATGACGTGGGGAACGAATATCATCGGCCGACAGTGTGTTTTCAACTGTCAGTTCCGTAGCCGGCTTGGCAAAGCTCGAATCAGTATCCCCAAAGATACTGTCGTAGTCCGTGAGGAACATCGAAAAGACTGGCGCTGGAATATTGAGAGTTGGGGCAAAGACAATGCCCACGTTCCTGACCGTCATCTTGTTCACATCGGAATTGTTCACAATCTCGATCAAGAACTGCGATAGAGCCCGGAGCAACGCAAGGTTGGGTCTAGGCAATCTATGCACTAGAGAGTTGAAGGCAGCGACCTTCTTTTGGCGATCGTCAAGTTCTGTTCAGCCAGGTTAGTAGGAGAAAATCATACACCACCAAGTGTGTACATACCAAGAACGCGAAGGAAGTCCAAATGAAGTTCTCGGGTTAAAACCGTCGTCGGGAGCTCTCGAAGGTATTGCTTGAAGAGAGAAGCCACAGCATGAATGTCGTAATATTGATCTCCAGACACGAAGTCAACATCACCTTCAGTATTGAAACGTTCTTTCAAAGCTTTGATCACCACATTGGAACCACTTAGACGGAAGATTCCTTCCTCCAAGGCTGCTTCCTTAGCATGGAGATATTCAATGCAGCGGTAAACCACTGCCGGCAGCTCCACATCAATGCCTGGCGGTCCACAATCTTGTACGGCCTCTGCCAAGGGTATACCGAACACAGGTCTAACAGGACCTGTCCGCTCAACATTGTTGCTTGCTACTGATATATCGCCGCTGGCCTGGGCGGCAAGATCGAAAGAGGACCTGGTGCGGAACCCCCAAATACTGCGTTTCTTTTCTTTCGTCGATGTCTTTGCTTTGTTGCCCCAGGCTTCCACATCTTGGATGACTGTGCCGTTGGTGGGCCTAGATATCAGTCTGGGAGACTGCATTGTCTGATCGGGAGAAGACATGGTCATGTCCCTGAACTCTGTCGACAAAGCCGACGGGAGTCGTGGGGATCGAGGAGCTTGCTCGATAGTGGAACCAATAGTCGGAGGATCAGCTTGCACTGCGTCTTCAAAGCTGAAACCCTGCACAGAGCCTCCGAGATCCTGGTCGGGACTATCAACTCCTCGGCCGGATCTCTTGTTTCCGTTGAACATTTTAGATTTGGCCTCGGCTCCGGAGAGTAGTTGCTTTTGCTGTAATGATTCATCTTGAGACTGCGGCTGACTTTTAGAAGATACGCTGCCACGTCCCTCATTGTCGGAAGAAGCATTCTCAACATATTCCATGAGAGCATCGACCCATGTATCACGCTCCTCGTCGCTCTCGGCGCAAAGAACATGCCGAACAAGTGCCGAAGAATCCTTTTTCTTCGGTTCCAAAACCAAAACGCATGGCGATACTGGTTGTCAGAGTCTTCCTCGGCCCCATGAGGTGAAGCATTATCGGTGGCTTTTGGCGATTGCTTGCCGATCTGGGCATGATGAAGTTTGATAGTACCCATATGCGGACCACCGGGAGATTCGTAGTATCTCAGTTCGGGCCCATCGAGAACAAAATATCTGGCTTTCCAACCACCAAAGTTCTTACCTCGTTTGGTCAAATAACCTTCCTTTTGAGGCTTTCCGTCTGGTCCACGTGGCATATCGGGTCTTGTCTGGGCGAGACCCTTCAGCAGGCTTGTCTCGTCGTCTCGAGGCTCAATGGCATCACTTGTCAAAAATTGGCAGATAGCTAGTGCGGCATTCTCGTCCATTGGAGTGTCCAAAAGTTTGTCGAAGTACGCATTCAGTGCGGCGCGTCTCACGTCAACCTTAGCAGGGGAGTGTCCGCTGAAAATACTTCTATCCGGTAGCTTTCCGGGGAACTGAGAAGATTGTCGGACTTTCTGATCCAGCTGTGGCAAAGCACCAATGACCTTTTCAACTCGCCATAGCTCTGACATTTCTGAGCGCAGGATCACACTGAGAGTAAAAACAGGCTCCTCATCCAGGGGCCTGGACACCATATAGCTGTTCCGGGAAGGGCGAAGGCGCGACGAAGATACTCTGACTTGAACCAGAGGAAGGGCGTTGGGAGGCAAAAGCAGGCCTTGATATTCATCAGACATCAATCCTCGGTAAATTTGATTGTCGGGGAAATTTGTAGATCTCGGGCTATCAATCATGACTGTGGGATCGATCGATGGGATAGGACGTCCAGAAGGGATGGGAGCAAAGCCCGTGGGGTGGTTTGCCATTCTTGGCGAGAGCGGCAATCCTGGAGCCTGATACCCGGCCGCCGTGGAAGTGGACATGTCTCGTGGCATGCGAGGCATGGGCGAATTAATGGGTCGATCTTCTGGTCTCGGGCTCAAAGGCAGTCCAGGGCTCATGGGCATGGCAGCAATAGAGCGCCCATTAAATGACGAAGCGGGGGGCGACCGAGAGCCCAAAAGCGACCCCAGTGAATTAGAATCCCCCACATCTGGCGGTGATCTCGTAGAAATCTCCCTGGGGACCGTTTCCAGGCTACACGTTGCCGTATCCCGGGAGCTGTGAGAGGACGCTGTCTGAGACAGTCCCATAGAACCGTTAGACTCAACCATATCCTTCTGCAGCGCAGCTTCGCGGTCCTTGTCGTCCTGCTCTCTCGTCTTTCTCCGCCCACGGCCCCCACTTGGAATCCCGTCTATATCCTGGGCGTCACCGTAATCGGAACCGGAATCGGAATCGGAAGCTAAAGATTCCCTTGAATTGTCTGCTTGTCGTAGATTCAGAGGCGCAGGTGGTGGTTTGCGATTTGGGTGCGGAAACCTGCTCATTCCATCTCCTACTGGGGAAGGGAGATTTGCGGCAGAGACTGGGCTTGTGGTGTTTTCGAAGCCCCGCCGAGAGGCTTCAGGTGGTGGGACAATCGATGGTTGGTCAGGTTTGCGCGACGCATTCTCGCTGTCGCTGCTCGGTACGGCCACAGTGGCTAAGGGCGCAGCAACGGGCAATGGCGGAGCGTCTTGTATATCTTTGAGCTTCTTGCGATATTTATCCTTCTCTTGGAAAGCACGCTCTAGATCCTTGTTAAGGCCGAGGATTAAAGTCCTTTGTTTGTCAACCAATTTCCAAAGTTGCGCGTTCTGAGAGGCCGCTTGGTGTTTCTCTTTCAGGAGGTGCATAATCACAGCCTCGGCAGATCCAGCCGCATTGATGAGATTATTAATGTCGGCTGTACTCAGGGCATTGACATCAAAAGCCGACCTTTGAGAGTTGGAGGACAGGGATGAAATAGCAGAGTCAATCGACGAGGTGCGAGGCATGGCACGATTGGGTGCGCGATCTCCCGGCATCGAATGTATAGAGCTGACCGAGGAAGAAGCAGATCGATCGGGCTCTGGCGCACGGGAAGATTTGGGCATATTACTCTCGCCAGGCCTTCTGCTAGAATTCACCGATTCTGTTCCTTCCATTTCTGGTGATTGCGACAGACTCTGACCAGTGCTGAAGGGTGGCGCAGAGTATGGTGCATTGGCCACACGAGTGATTGGCGGCCGATTCTGGAAGGAAGGAGGGTGGCCGGATTTCGGAGATAGGGGGCTCTGGGATGATTCGGAGCCGTCGACACAGTACGAGTGAGGCAGGGAACTTGTATGCAACGGGGAAGGTGTGATATGTCGAGAACCAGGAGCAGGTCCGGGGCGTTGATCGGATCGAGCTAAATAATCTCGCGGTATGAGGCCGTTATTGGCTGGATATCCGGACTGATTCTTAGAGGAGGTTGGCGAGCTTTCATTATTCCCTCGCGGAACTTGCGACATGGCTGTAAGAATCGAGACTCATCAGAGGGGTCACGTTCGGGGGCGACACGAGGCGAAGGTCCAAGGGGCGAAAGCGCGGAACCCCGGAAGCTGAAGCTTAAGCGCCAGGGAGGGAAAAAGGGGTTTTATAAACCGATCAACCGATTGGAAAAAAAAAAATAACGGTAAAAAACACTCCCTGGTGGCACAGAGAATGAGTGTTGGGAGGGTGAGAGGCCTCGGGAGCTTAAGAAAGTCAAGTGGGGGGAGGAAAAGGGGGTCTCCAGCTAATGGAAATAGTAATAACAAATAATAGTAGACAAGATAAATATAAAAGAAGTTGGATGGGGACAACTTCGGTACTTTTGAAGAAGAAAAAAGAAGAGGAAGTGAGGAAGATGATTCGAGATGCGTTGGTATGCAGACCTGATCCCTTTCAATCTCCCGTCTCAGTCTCTCTCTACTCCAAGTTACCTAAGGAGTAAGGGTACCTAGGTATCATGAGGATCATATGCTTTTTCTTTCTGCTCCTTCTTCTCTTCTCTTCTTTTTTTATATATATCTAAATTAAGGAGTGTATTGTATATAATAGTCCTTTACTAACAATATATAAGGGGGAATGGATATATAGACTTGTTTGTTGTACAAAGCCGTCCTAGCATTCGGCACAACTGCAGTGAAACCAGAGCGATATGAAAGTGACCTAGGGCTATTGGAAGTTGATGATTGGAATATTTTGAATATCCAGGGGAATACCTGGAGTCTCACAGTTGGACTGGGTTGAGTTCTGTTTCTTACTTGGGTTGAGATGGATTCTATCTTGAAAAAATAACCTAGGCTCCTGTAAATGCGACCGCAATGACTATGATACAGACCAAATGTGAAAAAAAGAAAGGAAAAAACGCCAGTCAAAATGAAGTACACAATAGTACAATTAGGCGATGTTTCCAGCCATGCCCATGAAAATAGCCTGGGCGGCCAGCTGAAGGGACCAGAACCCAACTTTCTTGAACCGCCTTTTCCGGGCTTGGTCATCCACGACATCTCGGGCAAACGCGTCATAGGTCTGGGGAGGTTGTCAGCAATGATAAAAGTATTGTAGGACACGAAAAAGGGTACTCACTGCAGCTGATAGGTCATCCATCAGGCCACTATCGAAGACGGTCCAGCTTCCATCGAAATCTCCAACGCGCTTGACTAAGCGGCAATTGATGGGAATAAAAGTGCGCTTGGAGTTGATATAGGCAACAATAGGACGGATCAGTGCGTTGTTGATGTAAGAAAGGTCCCGGGTGAAGATGGGCACGACAGCCCGAACGTTGTTGAGGTGCACGCGCAAATCCATGGCGAGGAACCGTCGATCTTCAGTCTCTGATTCTGGACTGGAGGATGAAGATAGAGGCTCCGGGTAACGATTGGTGGTGACAGTGGTTTCTAACCGGTCATAGAAATCGACCATCACCTTGGCTAAGCTATCATCGTTTTCTGCAGGTAACATGATGTCGGCCACAATATCTACAGTCCCTTCGTGAATCCAAGAGAAGGGACCCTGAACACCGCGGTTGAGATGGTCGACATTGAGTCCATCGACTCGAATCCTGTTATGTTTCTTCCACGGGCTTGGCTTGCCGTCTTCCTCTGCTTCGCTATCTTGCCGAATGCCCGTGAATCCATGGCTTTGACGAGCATGTATTGTGAACAAAGAGTTATCATACGACCCAGACATCATATTGGCCGAGAGGAAATCGTAGAAGAGCCATTGTTTCCGTAATTGAGGGAGGTCGCATGAGAAGATGCTCACGGAAAAGGGTCGGAAGTTATCCGGTTGGTAAATGGTGACAAGCAAATCATGCATCTTGAAAGAGTCAATCTCAAAGTCACCGGGAGTATGCTCATGTCGGTAGGATTTAGGATCTAAATCCTCCTCCGGCCAGTAAACATGGCGGCGGTCGACAACACCTCGTATGCCTTTCACCTCTACATCATGAAGTGGGCCTTTTCCATTGAGCCATTTGGTAAATGATAATGTCACGTTGACCGTCTCGATCGACAAATCAAATTGTGTGTAGTTAGTATCTTCCTCTTCATCAGATACTACCTGGGAATCTTCAAATTCAGTGTCACCTCGAGCTGCGGCTGCGGCTGCCGCAGACTTCGGCGAGCCTTTACTGACATGACCTGTGCCCTGGCCTGGCCGTTTTGACACAAATACATTCTTGAAGGTGATGACGCCATTTTTCCATTTGGGCACAATTGCAGACTCAAAAACAACTTTAACTCCAGAAGACTTGGTCAGATAGTTGCCTACCCACCCTGCCAATGTTTCTGTCCAAGCAAATTAGTACCTAGGCCTTACTGGAGTCAAAAGCAGACATACCTTGAGCAAAGACTGTGTTGATCGCAAGGATCAGAAGCGAGAAGAAAGTGGTAGTTCCCACGACGACCCAGACAATGTGGCCCAGTAAAACCCACGAGAATAGCGCAGCTATCTCATCCATATTGTAAGGACGGACACTTCTTATAGAGAACCATTTGAATCGTACTTTGAGGCGTGACCAGAACCCAGTTGCCGCAGCCAAAAGCTCCTCCTTCGTTGGCCGATGTAAGTGAGGCATATGTGGTAAGCGATCCATTAAGTGGCGATTGTTCGTTGTGGGTTGTTGAGTATCGTGGGGTAGTTTGGCTTCCGAATGTGTGGTGGATGTATCCTTGCCGGATTTTCCGAGTTTCTGGGAATGGTCATTTTCGTTGCGTTCATGAGTATCTTGAGAGGCTTCTTTTCCATGTCGATGGTCGTTCGAGGTATGTAAAGTTCGCTTCCAAACATACTGAGCGGCAATTTTGGGAGAGGAGATGATGCATGCTGCCGTATTATCCGCAGCAGCTGAGGTAGGCGAAACGCCGAGGACGAAGAAGCCGCCAGAAGCGAATCTTTTGGTGAGACCAATGGGTTTTCTTGAGGGTGTCGAGATGCGTCGAGAGTGATTTGAAAGGGACGAATCGAGAAATAATCTTGAGTTATAACCATCGGGGGCCGATACGCGATTTATTCGTATGCGACCAAGAAATGGATTTGCTGTACCCCAGATATGGGTGTACAGCCGGCGTCCCAGATTGGCAGACATCTTTGTCTTTACATCCTGGACATGGATGAGAAACTTGACAAGAAAATAAGACAGAGACACTGTATTATGAACAGCAGTTGACTTGTTGACAGGAAGCTTCCAAGCTTACGAGCGTTGCAAGGAACCCGGATGAAATCATCAGAGTTTGTCTTGTTTGCATCAAAAAATTCCCTTCCGCCCACACTTCATTTTTCCGTGAGGGGGAACTGATTAAATTTTGCGATAACAGATTTTATGGGAAAAAAAAACTTCATTCTTTAATCAACAACAATATGTCGGCACCTACAGCTATTCGCCAGTCAGAGCAGGCCCTACAGTTTCAGCCTGAGGCTGTCTCTCACGGTTAGTCCTCGATCTGATCTGCAAAAAAGAAAAAAAATCCTCATAGCTGACAATCAATAGATCAGGATGATGAAGTTTTGATCGATGTACAAGCCACGAACGAGGGCGCCCCGGCTAATCCCGTCGCCGAGTCTGCGGAGGACAACGAAATGCGTATCGACGAGGAAGGTCGCCCTGTCTTCACCCCGGCTAAGGACGTCGCAACCGCATATAAGATCGAAACCCGAAAGGTGCCTGTCCCACCACACCGTATGACCCCTCTCAAAGCGAGCTGGGCCAAGATCTGCCCTCCTATCGTGGAGCACCTCAAGTTGCAAGTGCGAATGAACATCAAAAGCCGATCCGTGGAATTGCGAACCTCCAAGTTTACCAACGATGTGGGAGCTCTGCAAAAAGGTGCTGATTTCGTCAAGGCCTTCACTCTTGGCTTTGATCTCGACGATGCAATTGCTCTTCTCCGACTTGATGATCTGTACATCCAAACCTTCGAGATCAAGGATGTGAAGACTCTGAATGGAGAACATCTTGGTCGTGCCATTGGACGTATTGCAGGAAAGGATGGAAAGACCAAGTTTGCCATCGAAAACGCCAGTCGGACACGAGTGGTACTTGCAGACCAGAAGATTCACATTCTGGGTGGATTTAAGAACATTCACATTGCCCGAGAGGCAATTGTCAGCTTGATTTTGGGTAGCCCTCCGGTAAGTCATGATCGTATCAACCTTCAAAGGAAAATTTCTAACTCCAAACAGGGCAAGGTTTATGGCAACCTTCGGACTGTGGCCTCACGAATGAAGGAACGCTTCTGATTCCACGACTCATATATCTCATCCGGCATGGTGTGGGCGTTCAGGTGCATCAGGTTTTACGCAGTCTTATTCTCTTTTTTTTTTGACCTTAGACATGACGACGTATAACGTAAAGATATCAATTCATGGAAATTTCATTCATCTCGATTATGTTTGCGATCAACCGATCAAAAAAGAGCCCCGCGCTCGATAAGAAGGCCATGATCTACCATCTCCGATACTCTAATCCTGCTTCAGGGCGTGGAACACCTCCTCGATTCCTTCCCGTGTAACAATAACCATTTGCAAACCATCGCCAACCTCGATATGTCTCTCCACGGCACTTGTAAAGGCATCCTGTACAAGCTTCTTGGCTGTCTCCTTGTCCAGAGGCTCAGCCTTCTTGGGCATGAGGGCATGTCCTTCTCCGCTTCCCGGGATGTATTGGTTCTTGGAGCTGACTTGGTTGTCCAGGAAAGGCATGATCAAGCTGGATGCCGCACCGGCAGCTCGGCACTGTTCCCGCTCGTAAGAGCCCACCGGGTCGTAGCTGTACAAAGCTCCCACGCCTTCCTCATCCAGACCAGCCAGAATAGCATGTACGTAGTACGGGAAGAATCGCTTCTCGTAGAGGATGGTCGACAATCGCTGTGCACATGCACTCACTGACATGGATTTCCCATGTTGGTACTTGTACATCTTCACCACGGTGTCCAGCTTTTCCTTGAGAGCGTTTCCATCCGCGGCGAAACCAACAACGGAAAGAATGATAGTAGCTCCCTCGCCGGTCTCATCATCACCACCAATTTTGAAGACTTTGGGGACCATGCGAGAGTTGATATTGTAGCCTGATGTGGAACGAGTGTCACCGGCGAGGATAGCGAAATCAGCACCGGTGATGCCGAGGGTGGAACCACCATTATCGGTGTAACTAGTGTAACTCTTAGCCAATGTTTCTGTTCGGTTTGATCAAATTGTTCCTTACGGGTAGAATGAGTGTTGCTTGACATTAGCGGATGTTGGCTCAGAGAAGGAGTATCCGATAGTCCCAGACTGGTTACCCATGAGCGACGTCATTTTCGGGGAGATAGAGCTAGATCGGGACAAAATATCGCAATGACAGCTTGATAAAAAAGATTAAAGTGTTGAATGTAGAATATTCTCGAGATTGGGGAGTTCTGGAAGATGGAGAGCAAAGAAGCTGGGTGTCTGACGCGATGCGGTAGCTGCCTTCTGATTAGGTAAGTAATGTCCAAGCTCCCTGAGAGCCTTTGACGGCTGTCTCGATAGTTACTCTCGGCGCCTCATTTATTCCTGGACGTTAAGTTCGACATACTCAGATTCGAACAATTAACTGGACCATATATTTGAATTTTATTCCAGTGTCCTCTTAATCCCCTTATCTCTCGACGCTTATACCTAGACACAAAGTGCGACGTGATGCTTGGTCTTGGTGACTATGAGAGCAGCAGTGAGGATGAGGTGGAGCGCAAGGGTCCTTCACCCAAGCCTCAGGTATTCGAATCCCGAGAGAGCAGTACTGGAGAGGCGCTGATTCCGAAGCAACAGCGTACCAAGGACATTCAACCTACAACCTCACAAGCTGGCCAGAATGAAGGTAACATGCCTTTGAATTCTCCGAGGCCGCTAAGCTCCAAGAGTTCGCACTGACAATTATACAGATCATAATCTACCCCGACAACAACTAACGGAGACACGATTTCACGTTGCCACCGATTCAGTCCCAGAAGGGCCTGTCCTTGGCCCCGCTTCTATCGACATGGCGCCCCTCTCGGAGGACAAGCATTCGACAAGTGGACGCTCATCTCCTTTTTCGGCTTCACGGGCACTCGTTCAAGACCTCACTCTTCCCCCGATTCCTAATTTAGACATCCCGCCATCGCCTCCTGGATCTCCCAATCCAGCCGCGAACGCGAAATTCGAGCATTTCCTCTCCCTCAAAAAGCAAGGTGTACACTTCAACTCCAAATTGGCCAGTTCGTCATCGCTTAAGAATCCAAGCTTGCTGAAGAAGATGATGGAACATGCTGGGATCAATGAGCAATCGCAATATGACACATCGCTGCCAGCCGACTTATGGAATCCGTCCAATCTACCCAATTGGGGGTTCAAGGAAGAACTTTTGAGAACCCAGCAAGACTTCCGTAAACAATCGGAGGAGAAAAAGGCATCGGGCCAACGAAGCTCGGTTGATTTTGTCACTGGGTCTGCCTGAGGATGCCATTCAGCGGCAACCAGACTAAGAAGGCCAACGATGACCAACCATAGTATGCCAGATCTCGGATGGCAAGGCCGAATGGCCTCGCCTGCATCGGCTTTTCCGGAAAATGTGGGCATTCAAATTTATGACCTGAACAGGTGGCTCCAGCATATAACCTGAATGCTTCGAATATTCAGTGACGCAGTAATTGCCTTCCCGACAAGGGAGTTTACGTTCTGGCATTCGATCATTCCGGAAGAAGCACTCTTCTATCGATCAAATCCGGAGACTATGTGCCCGTCTCGGAGAAACATACCGGTGGTATATCCGATGACTCTAGAAAGAGCCCTGAAAAGAGGATCGTTGATACCATCTCAATTGACATAGCGCACACTTGGACTCGTGTATATTATCATACTTGTATCATACATTGCAACAATCATACTTGTTTCAGCCTCCGCCACCACCGGATGAACGCTGTTTGCGCCGCCTCGCCTTCTCACACAGAGTTAGACAAGAAACCAACACCATTCGATCAAAGTCCTCTCCGTATTCCACTCTGATTTGAAGTTTCCCAACTCTGCCCGGTCTTTTTGCACCTGAAAACACGGCCAGAACCTGCTCGGTGCGCTCATCCACGAGCTTATAGTTCCGGCCAGTCCATTTAGACGGTGCTTCATTTTCAACGCCAATGGTGCGTGTTCGCTTCCACAGGAATGACCGCCTCTCGCTCTGAGTTTGATCAGATGCGCATTGAACTGTCATTTCGAAGCGGTATTTTGGTTTGCGAAGGAGTTCCTTGGTCATATCCTCCCACTGGACGTTGATCATATCCTCAGGGTTCCCAATACCTATTTTGTAATCACCACTCGACTTCAGAAATTTACAGACGGCCACAATTGGGGCCTTGCTGCTGGTACCAGCGTGGAGGATTAGGTCAGGCTTGTTGGGGGTGAACATAGATATTTCGGCGTAAAACAGAGGTTTGTCATCTGCCGAGTTGATATCGTAGTGCCTGCGGAAGAGCGGGTTGGTGATAATATACACTCGTGAAAGGCCATTGTCGTCAATGGGAGGCACAGATGCCGTTGACCCAGCCCGACTTGAATCCGGAGAAGACATTGAATTCTTCAGAATGAGGTTTGGATATGCAAAGATTGTCAAATGGAGGGAGATACTGCCGGGCACAGTGCCATCTATTATACGAAGTCCATTACGGAGTAGTTTCTGAGGCTATGCATTCAACCAGAGAATGCGGGATCGTCCCTTGGGAAGCGAATACGAGCACCAAATTAGGTTGGACAAAAAGTGTAGACCTCGGGAGGAATTAGGGAAGTATAATAGAACTAGTTAGTTGAGTATTCACCTTCATTTCTCTAAATGTTTGCATTTTATAGAATACATAAGATAGTGGTATAGTCCACATAGCACAGTAGTTGATATATGAGTCCTCTGATGTTGTAGGCTCCGCCGTGACCGCGAATCTTAGTCAGCCAAGCTCTCCGTCAGCTCGACTGCCTAAGGTAGCTCCCCATCTATCGTCATCACTTTACTGTACTATCCATCTGCTGTTCCCTCCTTGTCCGCAATTTACCTCCTTTCTTCAAGTCCCGTTGAATCTGTCATATCTCTTCATTCATCATGAACCACTTCCCTGAAGCTTGGGGTCGCGTAGGTGGCACAACTTTCCCAGTCTTTGCTCTGTTGCTAACTATCCGTCCAGCCCAGGAACGATGTCTACGGTGCCTATGATCACTCATATTTGCAGACCACAGGTCCCAAGGCCCATACCTCATCCCCTGCCGTGACAGGAACGTCAGTGGTGGGTGTCAAGTTTAATGGTGGAGTCGTTATAGCTACCGACAACCTGGGTATGCCATTCCGTTGTCACGTTCCATTTCCTTCGCTGCATTGCCATCTGACATGATATGATTTGTGAATATATAGCCTCCTACGGATCCCTGGCTCGTTTCTCCGATGTGAAGCGTCTGCGGAAATTCGGCGATAAGGCAATGGTTGGCTTTGGCGGTGACGTTTCCGACATGCAATATCTCGACCGTCTCCTCGACTCCATGGATATCAAGGAAAACTACTCGCCTCACGGCAACATGCTCAACGCCAAGAACCTGCACACCTACCTCGCAAAGGTTTTCTACAAACGACGCTCCGAGTTCAACCCGCTGTGGAACCACGTCCTTGTCGCGGGTTTCGATGCGGAAGGAGAGCCCTTCCTTAGCTCCGCAGATTTGCTCGGAACAACATTCTCTGCTCCTCATCTGGCTACAGGCTTTGGTGCTCATCTTGCGGTTCCGATCCTGCGCCGCAAGTTCCCCGAGGGGACCCCCTTGAACAAGTCAGCAAGGAAGATGCCATTGAGGCCTTGAAGGAGTGTTTGAAGGTTCTGTTCTACCGCGATGCACGAAGTGCCGACAAGTACTCGATAGCCGTGATTACGAAGGATGGTATTGAGCTGAAGGAGGATGAGCAGATTCAGGGTCAGAGCTGGGCCTTTGCCGAAAGAATCAAGGGATACGGAGCCCAGACTGCTTAAATTCTTATGTCTTTTTCTTTTACATGTAATGCACACGGAATTACGGATTCAGAGAAGAATTTTGGGTCCAAATAACCACAATGATCAATTGCAAAGACTTGAAACGTACAGGTAGTTATATACAACTTGAACTAGTACCAATCCTTTCATTGGTCTCAAGGCAGGTTCAAGAGAAGCATATTTCAAAGCTTGGCGCTAGGCTTGTCAAAGACCACCCGGTTGACACAGGACCCGACGCCCTCCAGCGCAACCTCGACTTCATCACCATCCTTCAGCCACACCTGAGGCTTGCGGCCCATGCCCACGCCTTGGGGTCTATCAAATAGTCAGTCTATCAAATCCAAACTTCCACCTGCTTGCTTATAAGAGTGTACTCACGTTCCAGTGAAGATAACATCTCCAGGCAAGAGCGTAGTTCCCTGAGACAGGAAAGCTATCGTCTTAGCCACGCCGAAGATCATATCCTTAGTCGAGGAAGACTGAACAGTCTGCCCATTCAACTTGGTCGAGATAGCCAAATTATCCGGATCGGAAATCACACTAGAAGAAACAATACCCGGACCAAACGGAGCCCAGCCATCGAAGCCCTTACCCAGTGACCATTGACCACCACCCCTCTTGATCTGCCAATCGCGGTGGGAAACATCGTTACCGACAGCATATCCCAGGACATAGTCCAGAGCCTTGCTTTCGGGGACATTAGTAGCCTCTTTACCGATAATGGCGACCAGTTCACACTCGTAATCCAGACCCTCGCCCTCTTGAGCAAGTTGGGCCACAGGGATATCGTCTACGGGTCCGGAAATTGAGGTGACGGGCTTGTAGAATAATACCGGATACGTGGGAATGGGCATGTTTGACTCCTTGGCGTGTTGCTCATAGTTGAGACCCAGGCATCGGACTGTGCCGATATCCTTCCGGGCTAGGGGTGCGAGAAGCATTCTCACATCTGCGACTTGCTCGGTAATCCGGTACTGGCCGAAGATGTCACCCTGGATGACTCTGGCCTTGGTGGCTTTGGCGATATCGCTCACTCCGGATGGAAGGATAGCATTGCCGTAGTAGATTTGGCCATCCTTAGCCAGGAAGCGGATGAGGTGCTATTCACAATATCAGTATATGTTGATATAAGGAGTAGTTCCGATCACGTAATTGATCTAGTTGATGTAATGTATTTTATTTTTCTTCTTTTTTTTTTGTTTATCTTAAAATGATAGGAATCAATTTTCATACTCACAGTAAAGGTAGACATCACGAAATATGGGAATATGGGGGAAGTTGGGGAAGTTGGGAAGTTCAAGGGGAATGAATACCTTAGGTAGAGAGATAGATGGGAGAGGATGATATCTGAGCACTCGGCCGGGAAAGAGATGCTTTTTCTTCCCCCAGAGCCGGGAAACATATCCAGCTCCACCCAATGATTTAACAGCCTTTCCCCCCTTTTCAGTTTGAGATTCGCAATGGCTAGGCTCTCCGGTCTCCAGAGGGATGTTCTGTCTCTTTACCGAAAATGCCTACGGGAGATTCGAAATAAGCCCGAGGTGGGTTCTATCATATCATCCCACGTCAACCTCAGCTGATACCTTAATTCTATTGTAGGACTCCAGGATCAATTTCAAGAAATATGCCCGGTAAGGCTCTATCAATTGTCTATCTGCCTCTCTCCCTATCTCCTTATTATTCCTCCTCTTCCCTTTTTCCTTTCCCGATGGCATTTCCCCTAGATATCGGGGCAACCCGGCTAAGATGGGATACAGCGCAGAGTTCCAAAAACACATATCGGTGAATAAGAAGGACTTTAGCACGATTGAATATCTCCTACGCAAAGGCAATCGACAGCTCGAGTTGTATTCTTCCCCGGGAATCCGCAATATCCGATGAGCGGATGGCTCCAGACCCCAGAATCTTAGTTCTACGGGGCGCCTATGCGGCTAGTTTGTATGTCTCGCCTTTTCAGTCTCATATATTTCCCAGTCCGCTCACTGAAATAGAATCGAAGATCTCCAGCGTCGCCGGTTCTACCTAGGACGGATTCCGGCAACATGTTGACCATGTTACGCAAAAGACATGGATATGTATGATGTGGTTGAAGCCTGGTTTTGGAGGCATTTTGTATAATAGTATAATAGTATATCACAGTATATCATATAACTAGTATATCATATAACTAGTATATCATACCTAGGTAGAATCTATGTTGAGTCATCAGAGCTTTGTCATGGAATGTCCGTTGTTCGACGTTGACTCATTGTAAAGCTTTTAGAAGTTTCGAGGTTCAAAAGTAATTACCAATCGCACATAATCCATAGATTATTAGAAATATGTATGTTAATTATGTATGTATGGAATGAAGTGGTTGTTCCTTGAAGTTGCCGGCTGCTTGTCGACTGCGCCACTAGTTTCTGGATGCTTCGGCTGAAGTATAAGCAATGAGCCTCATGTACAACCAAAAGCACAGATATAAAATGGCAGATATTCCAGGTCCATTGAATCAGAATACAATCTTCACAGCCTCTCAGATACTTCTTCTTCACTCCAAACATCTCAAAGAAATCCAAAACAATGGCCTTCTTCTCCCAATCCGGCCTTTCGCCACTCTTCCTCTTCAATGACTACGAGGCTCAAACCCAACACAACCCTCGCCAATGTCCCAAGTCCTACAAGTTCTTCAAGCCCCAAGCACACAGCCCCTCCTTCACACCCGCATTTGACGTGCGCGTGTTGACCAATGCCTACCACCTCGACGGCGAACTGCCAGGCGTGGACCAGAGCAACATCGAGATCGAATTCACCGATGCACACACACTCGTGATCAAGGGCCACACAGACCGCAACTCCATCAATGACGATGACAACAATCCCAACAAAAATGACGATGCCAACTCAAGCCGCAGCGCATCTCCTGCAGGGTGGCACCAAGCTACTGTCGAAGACGAGGATGCAGAGTCGACTAGCTCAACCGACACCGCTGCTTCCAAGACTACTTCGAGCCCCGCTGGGGATGACCAGCCTTATTTCTGGACTAAGGAGAGGTCGATCGGGGACTTCCAGCGCACTTTTAGCTTCGCCGCGCGTGTTGATCAGGATAATGTCCGCGCGAGTCTGAAGAATGGTGTTTTGTCTGTTGTTGTGCCGAAAGAGCCGGTTCCTACGCCGAAGAAGATTCGCATTCTGTGATTTGAAATCGATTTTATGAGTGTTATTTATTGGCTTTGAATCAATGGACCCGAGTATTTGATTGCAATTGGGATCTTCGGGCAACGTTTCTTTCCTTGCGTTGCTGATTTGTACTTCTATCGTCTGAATTTGGTATGATAATTAATCTAAATCGATGTTTATTATGTTACTCCGTACTATCCCGTCCGGTAGACATGTAATATGCACCTGCGTTAGTTGATAGGCCGTAGAGAACTTAGCTATGTTGGCCCTGCGCCTGCAATGCTAAACTAACAGCCCCTTGCTGGACTAGATAACCTTACTTCGTATACAATATACCTAGGTAGATAGGTGGCTAGGAAAGCTCTGAACCAGTAAATCAGCCACACGGTGAGAGAAAATATGCATAGCAAGGCAAGATAACCGAACCGAGATCGTATCCCTGAGATCGTATCCCATCGGAGTCATGCATGCATTTCGGGGACAAGACTAAGTGGCCAAGAAAAGCCTAAAATTGCGAAACAACATATCACATATCACGATAGCATACCGAATTCATGGATTTGTGGACAAACGCCAGATATGATTCGCACCAAGTCCACTTCCAATTCCAAAAAGGGTATACCTAATAAGACTCCATATCAAAAATGTGTTCAAAAATCCCGCCAAATCCTCCAAAAAGCAAAACAAATCAACTCCATGATGAACTTTTGTAGACGCCATAGACAGTCGAGAGACAAGATCCAGAATTAAAATAACAGCCAAGACGGAAAGGTCAATAAAATCATTACCAGAAATGTCAATAACCCAAAACAGGCCAAAACAGGCCAAAACAGGAAGAAGTCATTATATGGACAAATCCGTCTGGTGACGGACTTTCGTCAGCCGGCGACGGTGATAGTCATTGGTTCGGCTTCGAGACCGGCCTCGCATCGGCTCGGAGGAAGCCAACTCAGAACCAAGGTCAAGGTCATCTTGCAAATAACCCGGGGAGGTGATAGTGGGCAGCGGAGGAGCTTCAACTCCTGGCGTCTTGCTCCAGATGCGACTTCCCAGTCGGCTTCTGGATCGAGAGAGTTGTGTATTATTATACTCTGCATGCATTTGATACTCAGAGACCGATCTGCGAAGTCGCTCCTTGGTTTCAGCAGTTGATTCTCCACTCGTGGGAGACCCAGTAGTAGACGCAAGATCAGACGAGCCCAAGGACAATCGATCTCCATAGAAAGGTCCTCTGGTAAGTCCTTGTTGGCTCTGATGTGGAGTAGAGACTATGGCGGTAGATTTGACTTCGAAGACGGGTTCGCGCGGCGAAGAATACTCCGTGTATCGGGGCGCACACAACGTTGACCGACGTGATCGCGACGGAGTGATGGGAGTTGGGTCGGTCGAATCGTACCAGCGAGCAGCGGCTGGATGCAACCTTGAGTAGTTATCCGGTTGTGTCTGTAGGCTCAGGGGACGCAGCATTTTATCGCCCGATCGCCCTGAAGCCGAGTCTTTCAGGATACACACGTTCTTTGAGCTGTCTGCGCCACACGAGCCAGACGATTGTGAGCCAGTAGAACTCTGAGTCCGGCTCCGTTGTATGGAGTGGACTGAAGTGGCAGAGCTGTAGCCACTGTCGGACTTGTTGAGGGATTGAGATGTGCTCCGGGAAAGACCTGCGTCCAAAACACCTTTCTCAAACTGGGTTCTCGTCTCGTCGCAGAGAACAATTCCTTCATCTTCGGGATCCCCGGGAAACAATGATTTTCTCTGAGGCTGGACTGTGATGGTTGGAGACTTTTCGAAAGAGAATGGACTGCCCGGGACATCGTCTGTTTTTGTCGACTCGGACAAGGATGGAATCCCCAGTTCTGAGCCTCTGCTAGGCCCAATGACTTCTATGTTCTCAAGACCAAGGCCAGAACCTGGAGCGCAGGACCCCTCCAAAGGAATGCGGTCGCTCGGACATGGGGAAGCGGAGCCATTTACCACTCGCAAAGACCCTAATTTAAGTGCTCCGAGCTGAGTATATCGGGCATCCATCGGACTCGTTGGCCGCACTGGGGATGGCAGACGCAGCGGTTTCTGGGTTGATGGCAATGGCCATTGCAGCACGGTCGACTCAGTCGGATCCTCGATCGGGTTCTCGGGCTCTCCAATAGGCGATGGGACGCGTCGAATCGTGCCTGTCGTTCGTCTTGTGGCAACCCCCCGGTCGTGTCAGAAGCGATCGTCGACGTGTTAATGAGAACCGCTGGTTGCCAACCAAGAAGTGGGTGTTGGAAGAGGTCGCATGTCCGATATGGCTTTCATAGACAGCGCTGTTGTGTCTCTGTAGAGGGATTCGAGTCGAACTGGCCCGCCTTGGTGGCTGTTCATGAAGAGGCGAGGATTGGGAGGTTGACTCCCAAGTTTCCGACTGGTATGATGTTCTTCTCGAAGAGGTTGCACTCAACAGGCTTGGGCGGATTGGATGACGCTGCGTTGGACTCTGTTCATATCCGAAGGTTCGATCCTCAGTCGGGGTCTCTTCGGGCGACTCTGTTTCAAAAAGGGTAGGTGGGATCTCTGCCTTTTTGGAATAACTGCCCCTTTTCTCCACATGAGGACTGGAGATACTGTCCCCAACCCAAGGGTTTTGCCAGCCTATCAGCCCTGAAGTGATCGTTGAAGGGTCTGTTTCGAGGCGTGGAGCACTTTGACTGGTATTGGACTTCTTCGTCAGGGGCTTTGAAAGGCGGTTGGAGCGGTGGGTCTCGTCTTTGGCTTTGCTCGATAGAGAGTTGCCCATGACTTCAGAAGTCACCAGATAACAATGCAGGTAGATTGAGATTTGCTCTGGCCGGATTCAACTGGGCATGTGTAGTAGGGACGGCCAGAATGATATACAATTAAAATAACTTGGCGATCACTGTTTCCCCCGCACGACAATGGGGTGACCTAGTGGAATTTCCAAGCTTGTCCCGATAGAGCTTTTTCAGATTAGATCGCAGCCCCGGACTGACGTCAAACCACGTCCTGATTGCCCACAGAGGACGCAATCCGAGCCAAGCTCGTGCAACCGCTGGGTTTGGAATTGAGCGTACGATTGGCGGCTCTGGGTTCCCCAACAATCCCGGAGATGATTTGAGGGGGAGGTCCGTGTTTCAGATTGGATGCGATACAGGAATTGGTTGGACTGGAGAGATGGAAGATGGAGGAGGATTGAGGTAACCTCAAAAGGCAGCCAATCTTGGAAATCAGGGAGTCCCCTTCTTCACAAAGCAAGATTTGACGATTTAAGATTTCACGATCTCGGTGATCTCGGTTCACGGGGAGGTTGGTAGACCAGGGGTAGATCAAAATCGACAAATACACAATCGGATCGACATTAAGATTATAGACAATTTGGAAAATGAGATAAAATATAGAAAAAAAAAGTGACAGAAAAAAAAAAGAGAAGAACAGTAGGAATTGGTGGTGGGGGATAGTTTCAGGGAAGGGGGGAACATACGATACATAAGAAGTGGAGTGAGAAAGCGACAAACGAAGTGTATATGCAACTAAACGCTAGAAACAAAAGAAGACGCAAGCATTCCTTTTTATTTTCGCCACAAATTTTCCTATACGCGCATAAGCAGAAGATGAAGTGCTGCATGCAGAGGAGGAAGATATCTCCACGCGGCATAGGGGAAACAAAAAGGTACCGCCTTCTTCTGCCGCAACCGGGGAAAATAAGTATTTAGTACTTCAATTTTATATGTTATTATAATACATAATTCAAGTACCTGGGTACCTCTTAACACATGTAGTATTCTTGACAACTCCATTGTTTCCTTTCTTCCCCTTCTATATCCGGTCCACCGCAATCATCCTTTTCATTTCTTTATCTTTTTCTCTCTTCTTTTAACTGCTAGTGGATTTATATCCTATGTCTCTGATTTGACATACAGTGACTAGTAACAAGGTCAAGTGCTCCTACTCTTGCGAAACCCCCATACTTTGGCCACACCGCATTCACAGCTGAGCGTCTGCATCCGGGGTCACGGGTACTTCGCACGGAGTAGTTGACATCTTCCCAGGCTCCAGCCGCATGGCTGCACCTTGCTCTACGTTTCCCTTCCTGGTGCAGTCGGAGTTTGAGGGTGCATGTCAAGATCTTGCCGATCGATGCACTTCAGCCCAAAATATTAGCTGGCCCGCCATTCGACTGCTCACAAAGGTATCCCTTTATTTACGCATGAACCATTAAACCTTATTTGGTTCCTTATTCAATGTATTAAGGAATGAACAACTGATGGGAAACATATGGGTTGGATGAAACTAGTCAGATGGTACCAGCCTCAGAATAACAAAATATGTCGATGTCTCCAGCCCAGAAGTCCCAGCGCTGGAGGAGCTTGAAGATTCACAGGACGAGGATCCGGTCTGTAGAGTTCTAGCCCCCCCAAGGGACATGTCCACTTGTCCTAACTCTTCACCGCAGGAAGCTCTCGTTCGCACCAAACCCCAATCCAGCTTACAGATCGATTATGACATCTTGTTGTCCCCCACATATCAGGTCCCCATCTTGTACTTCGGCCTCAGGTGGCACAACCACGGCCCACTCGGACTAGACGAAGTCTACCAGTATGTCGTGCCGGAACAGTACAGGCAAGAATTGAAGAGTGTGGGTGTAATGGGTGGGATTAGTATGGGTGTAGGTGCATTCTCCGAACCTCGTGACAAGAGCTCATGTCTTTTTGTTGTTTTTTCTTGTAGTACCATCCTGACTCTGGCGCCCCGGCCTTTTTTGTCCACCCATGCAACACCGCAAATGCCATGGCGAACATTGCAGACGCACAGAGCGTCACTCCTGGATCATATCTCCTCATCTGGCTCGGCCTTGTAGGTCATTGCGTGAACCTGCACGTCCCACGCGAGCTTTTCGCTTAGCACAGTACCAGCCAATACTCTCGCATATGCTGGAAACGCTGGGGAATAAAAAAAAAATCAAATCAAATCAAATGCAAAGTGAGTAGTTCAAATCTCTCTCAGTCCCCAGCAGGGCCCCACTCATTAGATTACTCCTCATCGGAGGAAGCTTCCATAGGCACATCGCTATCTTCATCCATCGGGGCCTCTTCGTTGTCGCTTTCCTCTTCGCGTGGTCGCTTCAAGCCATGAGCCTCTCCATTGACATCGGTGGTGGGTCGAGCAGGGAGTGCGCCCGGGGGAGCACCGAAGATAGACTTTTGGAGATCAGTTGTGACTGGAGCTGGGGCAGCTTCAACTGGCGCAATGTATGTGCCGCGAAGTTTGGAAATGACATTCGATGATCCTTTGCCGTAAACAATTTTCTAGGCATCAATTGAATGAGTGGGGGTTTTGCGACGACAGAGGGACATAAATTACATACCATCTGTTTTCCGAAGAATTCGAATCCTTGTAAAGCCCGCAGTGCCTGTGTACTAGCTTGGACATCTTTGAATACAATATGGGCTTGGCCTCGCATTTTGACGGTCTTCATGGCCACAACGTCGAGAACGGTGCCATATGTGGAGAACAGGTAATAGAGTGCCGTCCGGAGATCATGTTTTTGAATTCTTTTGTCGGGCAAATTTGTGCAGTAGAGTCTAAAAATTGTAAGCGCCAATGCGCGACAGTCTCGTGTACTTGGAAGGGCAAGCTCACGTCTGGTTGGGAGCGCCGGTAGTAACGGCGTTGCTGTCAGGGCCACCACGGGCAGGCAATGATTTCGAAGCCATTTCTCAGATGATTAAAAATGGTAGAGAAGCTGTCGTATGATTGAGGGAGTAAATAGGATAGCGTATGGGAAAGTGAAGCTCAATCGCGTGCTGTGTCCATGGCCACTCAAAACCTCGACATAAAAGTAGCTTTCGGTCATGTGACGTGCTCCCTTACTAAGCGCCACCGTCATCATCCAGCTCCCCTCCTGGTCCCGCAACTACAACTTAAGTACACAAGCACGACGGTAGAGAGACCCTCCTGTCGTTATTATATCCAATATGGCCACCCCCGAGGTTCACCATCTCTTTCATGCACCAATTGCAGACCACTCGTTCTCATCCGACAAGAAGACACTTGCTGTCGCTCGAGAGAACAATGTGGAGCTGTATCAACAGTCAGGCAACAAGTTTACACTGAGCGATGAGCTCAAGGGCCATGAGAAGACCGTCACCAGTGTTGATATTGCTCCCAACAGTGGCCGAATTGTCACTTGCTCGCAGGGTATGTTTTAGCAAAGTCCTTTTTACTATATACCATATACAATACCTAACAGGTGGTCACTCTATAGACCGCAATGCCTACGTTTGGGAGCAAACCCCCACCGGATGGAAACCGACTCTAGTCCTTCTCCGAATTAACCGTGCCGCAACCTTTGTGCGCTGGTCCCCATCAGAGCAGAAGTTCGCCGTCGGCTCCGGCGCTCGTGTTATTGCAGTCTGCTACTTCGAGGAGGAGAACGACTGGTGGATCTCGAAGCACATCAAGAAACCTATTCGCAGTACTATCACAACCCTGGCATGGCACCCGAACTCCGTCCTGCTGGCAGCCGGATCAACCGATTCTCATGCCCGAGTCTTCTCGAGCTTCATCAAGGGTATTGATACCCGCCCGGAGCCTAGTGCGTGGGGAGAGCGCCTTCCTTTCAACACTATCTGTGGCGAATACCTTAATGATACTGCTGGTTGGATCCAGGGTGTTGCTTTCTCTCCTAGCGGTAATGCGCTCGCCTTCACTGGACACGATAGCAGTGTGACTGTCGTGTATCCCAGCGCTCCGGAACAGCCCCCGCGCGCGATGTTGAATATCGCTACCCGTTTGCTTCCCCTCAACAGCCTTATCTGGAACGGCGAGGCTGAGATTATTGCAGCTGGACATGTAAGTTGTTTGTTTTTTCAGCAGTACAACGGCTTGTGCTAACCGTATCTAGGACTGTGAGCCCTTCCGTTTCCACGGCGATGAGAATGGATGGCAACTTGCCGGCTCTCTGGAGAAAAAGGCTGGTGAAGCCGGGGGTGTCCGCGAGGAGTCTGCTTTGAACATGTTCCGGCAGATGGATCTCAAGGGCCAGGCCCAGGCGGACACCAAGCTCAAGTCTACCCACCAGAACACTGTGCACACCATCCGGGCCCACGAAGAAGCCAACGGGGCTGTGAGCTCCTTCAGCAGTAAGATCACCTTCCCGAAAACTTTCGACCCACCATAGACTAACATATTGTCATAGCGAGCGGTGTCGATGGCCGTGTTGTCATTTGGACCGCCTGATCTGAATTACCTTTTAATTCACGCCTTAGTTCATGGTCAGCATGCATATCGTATTGGATAGAATTCTTCAAGTACATTCCAGTTCCTCGTAACTATTCAGGTTGCAAGGTTATTGCATTCTTGTGCGTTGTTGTAGTTGTAGACCCATGTAACTAGTTACATACTTGTACATACTCGGGTAGTACCTTCCCAAGATCGACATAAACCGACCAATGAGGAAGTCGATGACATAATAGGGTTACCCCGGATTCCAGTCACATCTCCGCATCACAAGATCTTGCTCTCATCCTTTAAAAGATGCACTTATATCTTCCCTCCTACACAAATCAGTATGTTACACCATGGCTAGCATTTTATTTCTCCCTCTACTATTGTGCATCTGTTTCCTGAGCTTCACCACAGCCCAGACCAAGAAGCATGTATCAACTGATCTATTCAACTCCCTGGAAGAGTTATCCCGACTAGTGGATATTTCATACTGCGTTGGAACAACAGGAGTACATCAACCATTCCAGTGTCTCAGCCGCTGCATAGATTTCCCAGATCTAGAACTAGTAACTGTGAGTCACCTACAAGCCCTCATCTCCGCTAGACAAGACACTAACCCAACTCACCCCGCAGACCTGGAACACAGGCGTCCTCCTCTCCGACTCATGCGGCTACATAGCCCTCTCCCACACCCCCACCGCCAAACAAATAATCATCGCCTTCCGCGGCACTTACTCAATAACAAACACAATAATCGACCTCTCCGCCTATCCCCAAACCTACATCCCCTACCCAGACCCAGACGAAAACACCACAACCACAACCCCAATCCCCGCAAGCCCGCACTGCGAAAACTGCACCGTCCACGCGGGCTTCCTACGCTCATGGCTCCACACTCGAACAGAAATACTCCCCGTCATCTCCGTCCTACGCCAAAAGTACCCAGATTACGCCATAACGCTAGTAGGCCATTCCCTCGGCGGTGCTATCGCCGCACTAGCAGGACTAGAGATGCGTCTGAAGGGCTGGGATGCAACAGTGACGACGTTCGGGGAACCGATGATCGGGAACGCGGCGTTCGCGGCATTCCTCGACGAACAGTTCGGACTCGGGGATGCCGTATCGATTCCACCGCTACAGGGGGGTCAGCGGTTCCGTCGTGTCACGCATATCGGGGATCCGGTTCCTATGTTGCCGCTTGCTGAGTGGGGATATCGACCTCATTCTGGGGAGGTTTTTATTATGAGGGGGAGTTGCCGCCGCGGAGAGAGGATGTGGTTCATTGTTCTGGTGTGGAGGATGCTGGGTGTATTGCGGGTGATGGGGGTGAGGGGGTTTTGGTTGAGTTGTATCGGGATTTGAATATTCCTGTTGGATTGGCTGGTTCTGCTTCTAGCGGGGAGGGGTGTCGGTCGAGTGGTAGTGGTGGTGGTGATGTGTCTAAGGAGCAGGCTGTCTTGGGCCGTGAGATTTCAGATTCAGATATTGCTGGTTGCGAGGATAAACTATCGTCTCTCCGGTGGGATTGGTCTCTTATACCTGCGAGATATCGGCTCTGGGAACTGTTTTATGCTCATCGGGATTACTTTTTGCGGATTGGGCTTTGTGTTCCTGGGGAGATCCAACTGGATAGAGTATTACTGGCGTTGGCTGATGTTTTCACGATTGATATACCCGGGATACCCCATTGTGTACATTATCATGTACCTTGCTTTACGAGAAGTCATGTTCTTCCGATATGATATCTATCATTCTATTTCTAGGAGGTTACTTCAAAGGAATTGGAAGTCGAACCAATAATCAAGTTAGAACAGTGGTGTAATTGTCTCAATATAATGAAACAGGCTAGGAGGGTGGTAGGGAAGAAGAAAGCCAGCAGATATGCAAACACGCCAAAAAGCATGAATTCAAACACAAACAAAACCATCAAGGAATAGCAAATACAAATAAGAATGTTGTGCAAAGAAAAAAACAAACATCTCAACCAAACGACAAACAAATCATCACCATCAATCACCGTCCATGATCCAAACTCGGCACAATAACCGGCCCAAACTTAACCACATTTCCAAGTGCCCCATCCCCCTGCACCATAAAGTCGGCCGCAAGACTCAATTTACTAGCTCCAGAGGGTATATGTCCATAAGAGGGATTAACCGTCTCGGGGTCATAGGCCACAATAGCAACGTAGTTCCTACGCGCCATGAGCTTCCGGTACTCACGAGGCTGGCCGTTGACATCTGTCTGGAAGATCTCCATCATATCTTCCTTGGTATCGCTCACCTGGCCGGAGGATCTGTGGCCATTGGAGGGGACGTAGAGAGGTTTACTGTGGCTGTGCAGGAGTTTGATGACGTACGAGGGCGGTGGGGTGTTGACGACGGACGAGGCGATGAGTTGGTACATTGTCTTGTGGTCTGAGGGGTTTGAGGGGTCGTGGACGAGCCCTGCGCCGCAGACGTTGACGGCGCCGGAGAGGAAGGTCATTCGGATTGATTTTTGGTGTGCTATGCCTTGGAGGGTGCGGATGAGGTATGTTCGTTCGAGATCCTGGTTTGGGTCGTCAGTATGGTTGGAGTTGTGTAATTGGAGGGTAGGTAGGGGTAGGTAGGGGGAAAGACGAACCTTCGACTCGTGTGTCCATTGGTCGCGTAGCTCGTCCATCGAGCTGAACTCGCCAAATGGACTCAGTATACCGCCCATCAACCCGGATTTGCCTACGGCTCGCTTCACAGAGTCGAAGCCTGAGCCGACGAAGTCTTTAGCGCCGACTACGCCGGCTACGGAGCTGGTTACCTTGCCTAGCACATTGTATGCGCCGGTCACGGCTCGCTTTCCGGTTGCGACGGTTTGGACGATGTGTTCTGCCGTCTCTAGGCGGGGGTAGATGGGTGGCACGGCGACCATCCAGAGACAGTGTTGGACGCTGGGTGGTAGCATTGCAATCTTAGGGAAGAGACCTTGGTACGTGGGACCGGCCATGACCTGATGTGGGTTTCTTTCCGAGCGGCAATCTGGACCAACGACGACGACGCCGGGACCTAGGTATTTGACATAGTGCCAGCCTGTGCCGGTTATAGTGAAGAGGTCTGTGTCGTTGTTTACGTTGCGGAGGATGTCGAGAGTTGTGTGATGCTGGAAGAGGAGGTACATCTCGATGCCAATGCGACCGATGTTCTTGAACATGTTGGAGAACTGCATATGTTCGGGATAAGAGCCGAATCCATCGAATCTGTGCATGTATGTTAGTACTGCTTGTTGACTGTTGTTGTACGGACGACTCACATATCATGATCATCAATCTGGCAGACATAAGGAATCTGCGCAAATGACTCCCTGATGTGGGGTTGATCGAAGTGGCTGGTATAATAATGGAAGTATGCATAAGAAACATCCTGCTGGTTAGCCGCTGTCCAAGGAGCGTTCTTTCTAGCCTCTTTCCCGCTGATAGTCAACCACTGCTTGAGAGACGGAATCTCTTTCCACATCCGATCCGCATAGATCTGACCACCAAGACATAACTGGGTGTGGAAACCTCCGATTTCATTGTGCTTTTGCATGATATCTTTCCACATATAACCGACACCACCCAGACGAGCCCGCTCACCAGCATTGACGTTGAGCGAGAAGTCATTTCCAGAGGTAGCAATAAACCTCCAGTTAGTCTCGTGTCGACCAGCGACAAGGAACTCGTAACGAGTGCAGCCAAGGTGCGAGGTGATGGCGTATGTCCATTTTGCAGGACCCGCATCGTCCATCTGAAGCTCAATCTCATATTTGTAGAATGTCCAGCGTTGATGCGCGGCAATGTTGACTGCCTTCAATTGTCTTGGGTTTGGAGACAGGTCTAGACTCTGGTGCATGTGAATCGTGGGTGGCTGTGCGGCGTCTGTCACAAGCAGGATAGATCCCATCCAGATCCCACGCTCCAGGTCCATGTTGGTATAACGCAGATAAGGTCCAAAGTAGACACCGTTGGTTGGGGTGTTCTTGTATAGATCCATTCCACTGCTCGGGGGAGGACCAGAGAATCCAGACACTATGGGAGACTGTAGGCTTTCGAAACCAGGGGTCAGAGGCACACCCGGCGACGCCATGGGTTTCCCGAAAGCCGACAGGCCCGGAGAAACTAGCGGGTGGGCGCTATACACACTTCCCACCGGGGACAAGGGTGTGTCGTTGAGATTAAGCGGCGTAGGTCCCTTCGGGAACTCCCACTGAGTTGACTGCGTGGGCAAGTGGATATAGTAATACTGTCCTGAGCTTGGATCCATATGGGCAATCCACCCCTCCGGAAGAGGTGGTGGAGATGCTGGACCTGCACCAGCAGAGGGTCCCGGAGAAGTCACCTGGATTGTCTGATGGTGGAAACCGGACAAGTCATTCGCAACAGACGCCTGTGTAGATTGCCCTGTTTGCTGTTGCTGCTGCTGCTGTTGTTGCTGTCTCTGGTCATTCGCAAAAGCGGGATGGTCCTGCGGTGATACTGCTGGTGCAGGGGAAGGTGCTTTTGTAGCAGGATTGGGTTGATTTATTAAAGCCGGGTGCATCATTGCGGCTCCAGCTCCAGCAGCTGCAGCACCGCTTTGCTTTTCATTGGGATACCCATTTGAAGTAGAAGGACCGGATACACTTGAGTAGGCTGGTGGAGGGGAGGAGCTGAGGCGCATCCGGTCCATATCTTGTTCCAGGGGGTTAGTGGGAACTCTTCCTAGCTGTTCTTGCTGCTGCTGCTGTAGCCCAGATGCAGGGTGCATTTGGGAGGGGGATCCACTGTACTGGGTAGGATGAGCCTGGGGCGGCGGGCTGCTATATTGACCCGGATGAGCCTGGGGCGGCGGGCTACTATATTGACCCGGATGAGCCTGAGGCGGCGGGCTACTATATTGACCCGGATGGGCTTGGGGTGCTGGGCTACCGTACTGTCCAGGATGAGTCTGAGGCGGTGGGCTACCGTAAGACCCCGGCATCTGAGGCGGCGGACTACCGTATTGACCAGGATGCGCAGCAGGCTGCTGAGTATCATCACTGACAACCTCATCACCCTGATAAACCGTAGGAGGCCCATGAGGTTGCGAACCAGGCTGCTCAGTCGGAGTCCACGGGCGCGGCGGCGGCTGCTGCTGCTGCGGTTGTGGGAAAGTCGGCTGCTGACCAGAGTACTGCTCAGCTCGTCTCTGCGCCGCGACGTTATGCGACTGGATACCCTGCAGGGTCCCAGTACCGGCGATACCAGCAGCGGCATATCGGGCCTCGATATCTGAGGTAGGCTGCTGCCCTGGCCCGATGATAGGAGTCTCAGGTGGTGGAGGCGAGCCACGCTGGGCACGGGTTGTCGATGTGGAACTGATGCGATTGAGCGGGCCTTGTTGGGGCTGCAGACTTGATGGGGGACGGGCAGCAGAGGTTGAGCTTTGGCGTTGCGGGGGTGGGTAGTATTGTTGACGGTAATCGTATTGACTTGTGTTTGCTGGTGGCTCTGGTGGGCCCGGTGGTAGACTGGCCGGGGGTCGAGGGTACGGTCTAGCAGCCATGGCCTCGCGATCTGGCGCATCATAGCTAGGAGATTCGGGCAGTGGCTTTGGGGCTGCACCTCTTCTTTCGGCTAATGTTGCGACTCGGGGCTCGCGGCCGTCCCGCGGCCGGAGCGCTGTTGGGTATTCATTTGGACTCACGGAGCCAGAGCCAGAGCCAGGACCAGCTGGCGGAGACCCGTATCTAATGTTGTCGTGATATCGCTCGTTCGAACTCGAGGTGTGCATCTGGGGACGTTGACGGTCATCCGGGTACGGTAGCGGGGCGTTTGGTGGGGGACTGGAGCCCGCGGCCGACGCTGGAGATGACGAGTCCCGTTTGTTGATACGGAGAGGGCCGATGGTGGGTGATTCTTGTCTTGCTGGGCGGTCGTTGAGAAAAAGCTCCTCTGGATGGAGAGCACGACTGCTGCTACTCATGTTTTCTTGAGCAATTAGGGCTGGGCTTGAAGCTGCAGAAAGATAGAATTTAGCCACAGCAGAATGCGAGGTACTCCCAATTACGGAGATAAGCGCGAAGATCGTTGGGGGTGCGGGGCAGAGACGGGAAAAACTCCAGGGCTATTTCATCTATTCATAGAAATTGTCCGGGAGTAAAAAGAAAAAGGAAAAAATGAAAAGGTGAAGAAGTTTAGGAAGATTTGTTCTGTAGCCGCCAAGGGCGAGACGCCGACCCCGCAGGTGACGAGAATCATCACAAGTTGCTGCCTTGGGGCCTGCATATTATATATACTATATAGTACTACATTATAGCGGCTAGATGTACCCCTAGTAACAGCTGAGTACTATATTTTATACTAATTACAGGATCTCTCTCTCTCTATGTAT